GTCAGCAAGAACCTTGGAGCTCACGATTTAGGCACCACTTCTGACCCTTTCTGCCAAGTTCTTAAAAAAATATTGTTAAAGGATACCAGGGAATTGTTTACTCAAACCATTATTGTTTCCTGAACACAGATGCAAGAAAAAGTTTTATTAAGAAGATAAACAGCTGCTACTGTACACGGTTTAGATGGCAGCAAAAGCATCTAAGGGCCATAAAGGGAATAGTAAGGGAATTAAAAAGCATTTTTATGCATGAAGATGGCTAACATCTGTACGTTCATTAAAGTGGTATCAACTATGCTTTTAATTAAAAGTTAGTGACAGAAACTTAAATATGATTAATGAAGCCCAGCAGCCTAGCAGGAGTCTGCTCCATCAAAAGCAGCACAAGCTGCGTTCCCAGCCCCGGCTGCTCCTTTTTTCCCCTCTCAGGGATTCTGCCACAACCAGAACACACTGCAAGGACCACGAAGCAGAAATCCGGAGACAAACAACAAGCCAGGACAAGTCTGCAACAGCGCTTTCATGCCTGGCCGTCCTTTACGCTGCGTATCCCGAGGAGCCGTTCCAATTACCGAGCAGCACAAGGAGCTGGTTACCTGTCACAATAACCGCGCACTCAGAGATCCAGCGGAGGCACCAGCTCTGCCACAGGAAAAGAGGGAAAGGGCTGCCCTACAAACAGCAGCCTCCTGTTCAACAGTGGGTGGGGGGAAAACCCCTCGCCCAGAAGCCAGGGCTGAACTCTGAAAGGCAGGCAGTCGGCTTGTGTTACCCAGAGCACAACGCAGCCACGACCAAAATAAACCAGGCGATAAAAATACAGCACGAGCAAAAAGATGTGGGCACGGAACAGGAATCGGTGCCATCGGGGGATAAGGAGTCCCACAGCCACTGATATTCTCACATGCACTCAAACATCCGCCTATTCAAGTCCCGATGTCCACAAAGACTGATCTATTGTCACTTTCCTGCTCAGAGCTGAGCACTCACAGATTATGTCTTCAAAGACTGAAGACGCTTCCTGACATCAAATTTCCACTTAGCAGCTTCCAGACGCACAGAGCACAGAGAAGATGGAAGCCCTCACTTCAGAGTAGGTACCAACACATAAAGAAACTTTTTTTCTTTTTGTTAAAATAAACTTCACCTCAGCCGTGGCATTTAAAAGTGATATGTGACAGGACTGACTTGTGTAGCTGACTGAGCAGGGCGCTCCTCTGAGGGGCTCCCTGAATGATGCCCTCAGCTCCAGGCTGAGCACCTCGGTGCACTCTGGGCTTCTGCTCCTTCAGCAGAGCAGGAGAGGCTGGGGAGGACGTGAAGGAAGGGATTTAATCCTCCCACAGCTGGGCAAAAAGCTGGAGCTGTTCACGCTGTAGCCATGGAGCAGCAGCACGCTCCAGGATGGAGCACAGAGTTGGGGAACACAAAGCTTCTGTCAAGGGGCGGGGAGGCCAAGAGAAAGGACTGCCGGGCCCAGCAAAAAGAATCCCCTCTCGCAGCCCATCATCCAGCTGAGGAATGGGCATTCTGCTCTTTCCAAAGGGAAGAATCGCTTCCTCCCACTCCCGCAAGGAAAAGCACCGCCTGAGGAGCACGGCCAGCTCCAGTCACCACCCAGCATGCCCTGACACAGGGAGGTCTCGAGCCCCGAAAGCTCACGGGGCTGTCCCTCAGCTATGATCAGTCACCGGCATTTGTTCTTTGAGGCTGCTGCGGGTCTCGCCCTCTTCTCCCTCAGGGATGGGAGACACCCCCGGATAGCCCCTCACGCCCTCCCCACGGCCAGGCCCCGTCCGAGGCCACCGCACGGCAAAACCTCCACCGGGGGCCTCTGCCTTGAGCCGAATTCGGTGAAATTCAAGGCTGGGAGATGCGGTACCGGAGGAAGGGGGCCAGGACGGAGCTCTCCCGGGGGCTGGCTCCGGCCCCGAGCCATGACCGCCCCGAACGCTCCGGGTGCTGCGACCCGGCAGGGAGTGTGCTCCGTCCGTCCGTCCGTCCGTCCATCCGTCCCCGGCTGTCCCCGCGGGCACGGAGCGGTGCCTGCCGCCCGCAGCCCGCCAGCGCAGGGAGAGCCCGGCACCGGCCGTGCCACCACACGCCGGACCCCGCGTCCCTGCCGTGCGGTGCCGGGCGCTGCCATGGCCGCGGGGCCCTCCCGGTGACCGACTGCTCTATCGGGAAACTTTTACCGCCGCATCCCGGGGGAGGACGGACAGCCCGGCCCCGCTGAGGCCGCGGCAGCCTCCAGGTGCCGGCCGGGACCCGCCGCGGCCCGCGGGGGCCGTTCCGCGGTCCCGGGAGGGGCCCCCGCGCCGCACCGGCCCCTCTACAGAGCCGCAGCCGCCCCGCGGGCCCGGCCACCCCAGCTCAGCTCCCCTCAGGCCCGCCGCGGTTCCCGCCCCCGCCGAGGCACGGCCGGGCCATCCCGGGGGCCGCCAGGTGTCGGTGCTCGCCCCGCCGCCCCCCGCCCGCCCTCAGCGCCCCCCGCCACGCACCGGCTGCTCCCGGCGCGGCGGCCGCGGCTCCCGCTGCTGCTGCTGCCGATGCCGCCGCGGCTCGGCGGCTGCCGTTGCCTACGGGTCGCTGCCTGCCGGCATGCCCGCGCGCCGCTGGCATAATCCCCGGCGCGGGCGGGCCGGGCGCGGGCAGCTCCTCGCCCGCCGGCGCTGCCGCGGCGCGGGGACGGCGGAGGCGGGGGAAGGCGAGGCGGGCGGGCCGCCGCAGCTGCGGGGGAGGAGGGAGCGGGGAAGGCGAAGAGCCCCTCACCGGCACTGCCCCTGCCCTGCCGTGGCACGGCGGCCGCGCGGATTTATCCGCCCGCCGAGCGAGCCGAGCCCCGCGCACCGGCAGCACCGGGAGCCGCCACTTCCTTCCCCGCGCCGCTCCGCGCTCCCTCAGGCGAGCGGGCGGGGTGAGGGCGCCGCCTGGCGGCCGCGGTCAAAAGCGCGGGGCAGCGGGACCGCCCCGCCGTGAGGGGAAGGAGCGGGGAAAGAGCGGGGGAAGGAGCGGGGAAAGAGCCGGGGAAGAGCGAGCGGATGGTGCGGGGATCTCCGGGCTGGTACCGCCTTCCTCCGCTCCGGGCTCGTTCCCCCGCTCGCTGCCGGTAGCGGTGCCCGCAGCGAGGGTCACGGCGCTCACCGAGCCCCAGCCCGCGCTCTGCCCTCACCTGCCCCCGGAGCAGCTCTGGCGACTCCTCGAGTTTCACTCTCTGCAAAGCTCAGTAGGGAAAAATAAAAATCTCAAAAAGTTCAGCGATCGCTTTATGCAGAAGCCTCAGGAAAAGACCCTGCGATTAAATTTACCGTGGCCTTTAAAACCTTTGTTGATTTCCTGCGGTTGTTTTTCATTCAGGATGCATCAGCAGAGCGCTTCTTCCCTCTCTGCAAAGTGCTCGCAGTTTGTTTGTAATTGCTCCCTGCATTGCCATTTAAGCTGTAGTCCACACTACAGCCTAAACCTATAAAACCTACAACTTCTTTAATTTGCTTTCTAGAGACGCGAACAAACAAATTTTATTTTCCAAAGTTTAAATCTGAGATCTGGAAGAGTTGAAATGTTTATTATCATAGAGAAAAGTATGCTTGGGAGTGTCTTGCGAGGGCAGACTGAGGGAGAGGAGAGCCTGGGGCTCCAGGCAGGAGCTTGTAGATCTGGAAAGGCGATAAACACCAACATAGCTGGGAGGTGTCAGGTGAGAACACAAGAGGAAGATGACTAAAGTCCTCCACAGAGGAAGCTAAAGCCTCTCTGGTTATCTGGAAATCCTTATGTGTCCTCAAAGAGAGAACAAGGCAATTTTCTGGTGTTAAGGGGAAGTTGAAAGGGGATTAAAAACAAAAGGACAATGTCCAGCAAAGGGCAGGGCCGGCAGGCACTGAGCCTCCCCGTGTCCCAGTTTCTGGTGCTTTGGGTCTGATTTTCAGGAGCACTGAGCATTCAGGCCTCCCACTGATTTAATCTGGAACTGCAGAGCCTCTGCCCCTCTGATGAATCAGGCCAAAGGCACCACACGGAACAGGTCACACAGATAGCTGGGAAGGTTGGCCTAGAAGTTTACTCAAAGCAACACTTTTTTCCCCCCCTTCAGTGTTATAATAGAACAGAAATAGCCTAAAGAGCTCCGACAGATGGAGGAGGACTTTTGATTAAAAAATAAATTCTGACTCACAATTCAGTTTTCTGGATGTAATAAAAAAGAGTCCATGAATATGAATAGTGCTGGAGAGAATGGAGATGAAGGGAGGTTACAAGGAGAGGCAGTGAAAGAGCTGAGCTGATTTACCTACTTGCCTCTAATGTCTGTCAGGAAAATTCTTTGGTTTTGCTGTAGCACTGATGAAAGAAAACAAGACCATTACTGGACTCATGAATTGTTCCTGTGATGGATTCCTTGGAAAAATCCTGCTGGCTGACTGATATTTCTGAAGAATGCTTTAAAATTGTACCTGTTAATAACAGAATAGTAGGAAAACTGCAGCTGAATCGAGTTATATAGGGAAGAAAAGATTATTTTTTCCACCCCTCACCCCTTCTAAGTAAAAATTACCAGTGAGAACATGGAATGCCATCAGAATTGTACATCTGTTTGTGGAGACTGAGAATACATTGGAGCAACTCCTCTCCAAGCATTCAGACCCAATTTCTGCATTTTAGAGTAAAGGAGTAAACAAGAAGCTCCCATCCTTGACTTCTCCCCAGCTCTGATCTTGCACTGGGAGTACCCACAGGGTTGCAAAAACTACAGAATTTCTGAAAAGACCATGCATGGGCTGGACAATTCCTCATCAAATATCTTAAACCACAGCACTCTAATTTTAGAATCAGACCTTCTCAAGCTTCCTTTATGACAGCTATTCTGGCCCTGTAATCACATCATTGGTGGCCAAACATCTTGAACAAGGACAGAATTTGAAACACACAATATGATTAAAACCTACATTATCTCTGATGTAATATCCCAGAGCCTATTACTGTACTTGGGCAGGAGGAAAGAATCTAATTAAACATTTATTTAATATTAAAATACAAACCAAAATATCAATGTTGGACAGTAATGCAACAACATGTCAACTGGCAAATACGCATTTTTTTCACCAAGAAAAATTAATTTCTGTTCACAAAGACATGAAATGTACACGAACAGAACACTGGCACAAAACCCAGCCTGGCACAGGGAACCAGTAACTTCAGGGAAGGAGTTCCAGTCCTGGAGTGTCAGCTGGAGCTGAGCTGTTCCCTGGGAGGCAGGAGGCTGCTGCCAGGTGGATCCTGGCACTCACAGTATCAAAACACCCCTCCTGGGACTGCTGGGAGGCTTCACATCCACCAGAGAAGGATGTGCCCGCCCCAGGCAGCCACAGTGCAAGTGTTGCTCACAGTTCTGTCCCAAGGACAAACACCCATGGTAAAGGTTTAAATGAAAAGGATTTACCACACAACAGTGGTTCTCTCCAGCACAGGTAACTCATGTTGCTTTTTGTATTAAAGTCCAAAATCTCCTCTTGGCTAAGGAGGTATTTACATCACACCATAAATATTTATAAAATGGTGGAGGAAAACCAAGTGCAAAAGGGTAACACTACCATTTTTTTTTTCTGAAAACAAGCTGCCTTTTAGTTTCTTATTATAAATTGAATATCACTATTTAAAAATAATTAATATTTCTAAAAATATTACAATACAGGATAAACATTGATTTCTCAGGTGTAACAAAATACGTTTAAAATAGAGGTGGCTGTTTGAAGTACAAAATATTGCTGTTTGTAAAGGGTAACATGGTTGCAAAACTACTTTTCAGGGTTTATAAAAATACAAAACAATTTGCATTTACTGAGTGCATCATTATATATTAGTGCAAAAAAAAAAACTATATTTGCAGTCAAGAACTGTCAAAGATTTGCAGAGGTTCTCAAAACATGAAATCTTTTCAGAGTCATTCGTATTAACCCCAAATCTCTGTTAATTCTTTCCAAACGATCTTCCAGGGCTTCCTAAAAGGAGGAGTTAAAAGAAAGAACAAAAAGCATTAATAATGTATCGTGAAATCCAATGATCCTTCTAAAATTAGGAAACTGCTATCATTCCTATATTCCTGGTATCTCTTTTGAGGCCTTAGGTGCATTGTTATCACCCAAAAACCAGAGCCAGACCCACAAACTTGTCATGTTATTTTTATGTATTTTTTGGCTTTTTTAACACGACTTACAAAACTCCATGAGAGAAACCTGACAAGAATTAGGACAGGCTGATAATTAGGAATATTAGGCATATTTAGGAAATAAGCATATTTAGGAAACAGTTGACCACTGTAATGAGTGGCAGTATTGATTTACTGGAATGCACTTTTAATTTCAAATTGATACATTGGTAACACACCCTGGGATCACAATTCAGGAAATGCTGACATTGAAGGCTTTGCAGAGACCTCTATAAGATAACTTTGAGACTTGTTTTTCTTAAAAGAGTCTGCAGAGTTTTCCACAGACAGCGCTTCACTGTATTCCACCTAAACCAGTTATTTTTACCTTCTTACTTTGTGCTTTCAAGGAGACAATATCCAACCAAACAAAAACTAAACCTTTCCATTTCCCCTACAGCACAACACCCTCTCTGCAGCTTCAGGGATCTATTTCATAGTCACTGCATTTTGTTAATGCATTGCCTTTCTCTCCCTCTCAGTTTTAGCACAAGAACAGACTATTCTTGCAGTAATTTGGCAAAAAGCATCCCATGTACAAAAAATAGAAGATATTAAATAATATAAAAACCAATATAAAAATTCCCACAGTAATCACACTCACTACCCAGAGGATCTTTCCTCTACATTATGTATTCTCAGTTGTGGAAGAACAGAAGAGAACAGTAATACAGAGAAGCTTTTTCACCTGATTTAGTCTTGCTTGCAAGGTCATTCTTCCACCAGAACAAGGGATTCGGCTGAGTGCAGCCTCAATCTAATAACAGAAAACACTTCAGCTGTAAATTAGTTTCAAGAGCCAATATGAGCCTTCCTAAGTCCTCTTACAGAAGGAGAGGTGAGGTGTATGGATCACAGCTACATGGAGAGTTTTGTTCTTTAGCACCATAATACTGTGCCAGCCCCCACCCACACTGGGTTTGTTACAGGGACTCTCCTTTTTAAATTCTCCTTTAATGAATTTAGGGACAGGGAAGGACAATGGCACATTCCTGATGTGACACTGAAGTTGTGCATGAATTTCAGCCACACATTCCATGGATAAAAGGCTCCATATCCCTCACCTCTCAGAGAACAATTACTATTTGTCACAACTTGAAAACAAAAATAATCTTTGCCTGTTGCTTTTCGTGAGTCAGCTCATCAAAAAGCCTCTCAGTTTCAGCCAGAGTGGGAATCCTTGCTGTGTACTTGAAGTCTTCCTCACAAGGTGATTGCACGGCCTCGTGTCTCTGGCTCCTCTCCTCCCAAGCTGCTGCTGCTTTCTTCATTCCATTACTGACAGATTCAGTACAGGGGCTCTGCCTGACACCTGAATGCTGCCTTCCTAGCAACAGAACAGTTGAATAGTTTTATTTGTTTTGTAATTACCTGGGAAATTGTTACACAGGACAGAAAAAGAAACTAATGGCAGCATGAGCAGTGTGGTTTTGGCAGCGCATGAGCCAAGGAGAGGGCAGAGCAAAGCCTCAGTCCTTGCCTTGAACAGCTTCCCAAAGGAATGCAAAGCATTTGTATGGGTCATCTTTAGGGGATCTTTGAAACACAGCATATTTTATGGTTAACAACCAGATTCCTGTGTTGTACTAATTAGGAATTACTTTTATTGGTAAAGTATCACCAAGCTGACTGGTTGTCATGCAAACACCAGTCTAAGCAAGAGCATGGATAAAACCAAAAAGCAGAACATGGTGACAAGGAGTACCTAAGTGAGAAAAGATCAACCATTTCAAAAAATCTGAAACAACTGGTTTTATTAGTTACTCTTTGCTGTCCATAATGCAATGTTTAGCAATAGGATTTTATTAGCATGACTCAGTGTGTACATCTTAATATAGACCCCACTAAGATATGCATTGGATAACTGAGTTAAGCACAGGGAAATGTATTGCCCTTCTTTCTCAATTTAATTATTTTTCTTGTTCCACTGTGTTTGTGCACGCACACATATACATAAAAATAAAATTCTGTATGAATAGGATTTCTCTGTCTACAGGAATAAGGCAAGATTTAGAGGATTTTTAAAAGTTGGACTTCACAGAGTAAAGAGTCAGCTTTCTAGTTAAGCAGCCACTACCACTGTGGAAAAAATTGTGGTACAAAAATAAAGAACAGTTCTCCACTTTGACAGATTACCTTCTACATCATCTAGTGACTGAAACTGGAGCCTTTTCCTTGGATTGTTGTGCTGTAAAGTAGAAGCAGCACCAGTTTCCAGGTCATCTAGAAGTATATCAAACCTACAGAGCAGGAAGCACACAGCAATTACTTGTTAGCAGTCATGTACCAAGCAATACATTCTTTTCTACTTTTTCACCTTTTGGTTGAATAAACAATTTTTTTTTAGAAGAAGATTAAGTCTTCTAAATCCTGTTCAATCATTCTACATTTTCTTTGCCAGATTTTCAAAAGCACAACTTAGCTTTATATTCAGAAATCTTCACAACTTATTTTCAAGGATATTTAATGAACAAGAAACAGCAGCATGAAGCCTGGATAAACATCCTGCTGCTCTAAAAATGATCAGAACACAACTGTATTCACCAGACTCTTACCTTGTCACTGAGTTTTCATTTCTGCTGAGCAAATGGCTGAATCCAGGAGAGAGGTTTTCCTTTGGAGATCGTTTTGGGCTGTATGTCACAGACACTGGTGCCAACATTATCTCTCTTCTTGCTGCAAAAGACAAAGAATGTTTATGTACCTCAAAGTCCCCAGTGCAGTACCTCCCACTCGTGTGCTTGCAGCTCCAAACAGTGCTCTTCAAAGGTGGCTGCATGTTTATCTCCATTAGATGAGAAGTGCATCACAACATGCAAAAATGAAAATAAACTTAGAACCCTCACGTATTCTGTGATTACAGACATGACTTTTTCAGACTGCCAGAACAATGCAGAAACCCTGTCCCTATTTTTCCATTTTCTAGAGCAGCCTTTCATGATTTGATTCTGCCTTTTGAGGGACACAAAGCAAAGCTGAGCAAGGCACTGACTGGGAGTGCTGGATTTCCTGTTGGCAGGAGGAAGGGACGATGACCTCTGGCCAGAGGGGGAGCTGAACCGTTTGGGTCTGTGCTGGTCTCTCCCTTTCTCTGGAGATCTGCTTGCAACCACAGAAGGTTCAACAAACCCCACGGTCTGACGTCGAGTTGATGGTTCTAATGAAAAGAAAAAAAAAGTTCTCATGTTAATCAATCTTTTTCAGCACAAGAATTCACAAATATTCCCCTGAACTGAGCTTTTTATCCCTCACATCAACGTTATTTGTGCTGTTCTGCTCAATCTCTCTTTCCTACTCAGAACATGAAATTCATGTTTCATTTAACTCATGAAAATGGATCTCTGCAGTGTGTGAGAGAGAAATTATGCTGAGTAACACAGTTGAACAGAGAAACAGTGGAAATCAGGGCAAAAGCATCTTCTGGGAAAGGCTGAAGGACCTGCCTGAGGCCCAGAGTACAAGATTTTCAGACAGACTCAGCGTTTTCTCTACATCAGCATTGTTACAGCTCAGGGCAGTCCCAGTCCCTCAGTTCCATTCCCATAAACACCATGGAAACTGAAATGGATTTACAGCAGCCAGACCTTGTTAGGACTCCATTAACTGTTTATAAATACTGAGATATTCAGAGAAAAGGACACATTAACTAATCTTCAGCTTGAGACCTAACAGTAACCTCTGCATTCCCCCTATTCTAAACAAATCACTAAGATATCTAACTTTGAATTTTCTTAAGAGAACCCCACAAGTTTGCATGCCAAAACCTTTTTTATCCCAGCACTGAAGCCTGGTGGACTTGAATGCTGAGAATAGCAAAGGCAAAAGACATGCAAACAGAGAAAAGCCAGTAAAGACATGTTCAGGAATATAAAAATAAGAGTTACTAGCTGGTGCATCTTCTTTTTCTGTCTGTGTACCCCAATCTTTAAGGGTTTTTCCTTCTTCAAGTTCTTTAAAGGCTTTTATAATTGGTGCTTCAGACATCTCATTTTCTTTCTTTCCTATTGTGTTGGTTGAAGAGTCTTCCTGTGAGGAGTCTTTCTCAGGAGGAGAATGGTGCCTTGGATAATATGAGGTGGTGGAAGGAAAAAAAAAATCAAGTATTTTATTTTATTTCATATACGCAAACGGGAACAGAATAAACAAAAAGCATGGAGAAATTTAGTTCAGATTTTAGTTTAGTTCAGGTTTCAGAAACCAACTCACCTAGAAGGAATGTAGGTTTCTTCCAGCCTGTTGTCTTTGGGGCTCTCCTGGCCCTCCAAAGGCTGCCCAGTGAAAATGGAATATTCAGCTCCTGGTATCAACCACTTTCTCCTGCTGACATCAGGAGTTCCCAACTTGCTGTGGGAATAAAAAGCTTCAAAATTATTAAAGGCTTTGGAGTTTGGGAGGGGGGTTTATGTTTGTTTCTGTTTTGTTTTTTAAGAAAAACCTGTGATTTATTCCAGTAAACAGAAACAAATATACAATAAACTTGTAAATACTGTGGGAAAAGTAACTGCTTTTAAAAACATGCTTGCAAGGTAAAAATAGAATATTTGGGGGGAAAAAAAGCCATATGTTGAGGTTTCAGTCTAAATTACACAATCTGCTCAGAATGCAGAGCTCCACAAAGATCTTCGTGTAATTTAATGCTGCTTACTCAGACCCAGGTTTGGGTTGCAAGTAGATCTCAACTAATTAAATGAAAACATTTGGTGGAGATTACTGCAGTAGTTCAGAGCATCTGATCCCAGCTTTCCTTTGGACAACAATTATTAGAAAAATAAAAAAGAAAAAACAAAAAACAAGAAAAAGCCAGCGTTGATAACCCGAGAGTGACAAATATCAACTAATAAGTATCAATTAGTAGACCATTATCTTGAGATATCAAAAGAAAAATGTGATTTCTATACACAGGAAAGCAGATAATTAGGAAAAAAGGGGACTTGTTTACCCAAGCTATGAACTAGAGGCACTATTGTGTAAATCTTCCTGCTGGGCATTCAATTGGAATGAGGCTTCCCTTGAGCCTCTGGGATCACTTAGGGACAGATTAACTTCTAAATCCATACTGGCTCTCACATCCCCCCTCCCTGATTGATGAACAGGGTCTGCCATGTCCAGGCCTTCCTGTTTTCTGTTCATTGTTGACAGGGCTGGTTCATAAATATTAAAAGAGCTCTAAACAGAAATCTGTGTCTTTAATATATTAATACATACATATTTCTGTCCTCATAATCACCAAAATCCTAATCTCCCCAAGATACTCCTGTTCCACACATCCCAATGGACATCCCCAAACCACATTAATTGTCATTAATGTGAGCTCCAGAGCATCAGTGCTGAAATGGGAGAGACACTGACCAGGCCAAAAGTAACAAAAACCAGAGGGGGGACAAAGCTTTTCAGGCCTTTAAAATGGGGTAAAAACCCCTCAAACAAACAAAAGCAGAGCACAGATCAACTTGACTTTCCTTAACATAAATCCCAATTCAAACCAGAGTGTTCATTCTAACTGAGCTTCCCCTCTGCTCTCAGGTTACCTGTACAAATTCTATTTAGAGCCACAGTGAGCAGGAATCAGCCTTTCAAACCAATGACACACCAGGAAAACCTCCAATGCCTAACTGGGCTATCAGCTGAATTCCCAAGATCTTTGTGGAGCTGGGAGTTCAGCTGAGACCCAGCAAACACTGCTTTGTGAGGAGCAGGCACAGCTGGCCAAGGCAGGGATGCATTGCAGAGTATTCACTTGGGTTTCAGAATTTCTTGGCATATCCAACCTCTGGATTACATCACATGTGTTCAATCCAGTTCAGCCCATGGACTGACCTCATCTTGATCCATTTTTAGCCAAAACATGTCCAAAGCTATTCTAAAACACATTGTTTTCATGTCTTCATGTTCACTTACTTGGCACAAGAGGTTCTTAAACGATTTTCACTTATATGGCGAAGTTTCAGGGCATTTTCGTGTTCCACCTGCTTGAGCTGAGCTTCAAGTTTTAAAATTGTCCTTAAAAAGATGCATTAGGAGATGATTTAAATGGCATAAAATAAACATCATCTTTCTTAGGAGTTTAGCTCATTTTATTCAGATATTCTGGATGAAGCAGGAGAACAAGAGCAACTGCTGCATTTCTGTCTATGCATCTCTATCTAAATATGGATATAAATATGTATTTGAATTTGAAGTTAAATAAATCAGGTAAATCTGGCCAGAAAGACAGGACCAGACAACACTGCTGATGAAGCAGAGAAGTAGAAAAAAATGCATATCCTAAATTAATGAGATTTTTAGTTTGTACCAGTAGCATGAAGCAACATGAAATGCTTCATAAAATGTGATTAAACTTGAAAGATCTACAGCCCTCACACTCTGGGAGTAGACATTTAGCCCACAGTTTGTATTTCATATTGTTAAAACAATAATAAGTTTCACAGTTACCTTTTCAAATCAGAAATCTCTGTGTTGGCATCCAGCAATTTGTTTTCAGTTGTATTTAATGAATCCTACGAGGACACAAAGAAAAATGTAAAAAGTCCAGAAACTGCAGAAGTGCATTAAATAAAACCCAAGTAACTCCACATCAGTCTTGGAAACAACACATCAATTACACCTTCCTAGTGCAAAGGGTCCATTAAATTTCTGCAGCTTTGACTTTGCAGTATTTTTGCTGCCTATGACTGGAAAATAACAAATTCCAGTTTCCTTCCTTTTCCCTCCAGGACTCCAAAGAAGAAAGTTACCAGTAAAGATAAATATGGATCTTTCTGTTTGAGCTTTTTCAAGATATTTCAGTTAATTCATCTGGAATATTATCAGAAAGTTTGCATGTTTAGGTTTTTAATTACCCACTGTGTACCTACCTTTACTCTTTCATGTTCTTTTCCAAGGGATTCGTATTCTCCTAAGAGCTAAAACAAAACAAAAGAACACCAACCCACAGTGAGACCACAGTCAATTAACAGTTTTGTTGGCTGCTGTAAAATCATCTCAACAGCTTGGCTAACACATGCAGAAGCACTACAGGGGATACAAAATGTACTTTAATAGTATTTGTTAACTTCTTCTTATCAACATCTTCCAATTGGAACAAAAAGTTATAGACAGGACAGGAGGAGACAGAGCTACTTATAGAATGTATTTCTAATTTTCAAATTATTTGTCTCTAAAGAAACTGAATGAATGAACCAGTTAGATTCCTCAGAGACTTTAAAAGTGAATTTGTCTTTTGAAATTTCAATTGTAAAAAAGAAGTTAAAGCATGAAGTAGCTCTTCCAGCTAATACCCATTCTGCCAGTGCATTTAAACATTCCATAAAGCTCTTCCTAAACAATCAGAGGAGCAATTCCTTAGATTCAGACTAAAATCACACACAATGAACAGTTTTAGCAAGTTGGGTGAGGTATGAAAAGTTTAGTCCATCTCCAACAAGCTTAAGAGAGGAAAAATTACTTTCTAAAATTTCATGCAGTATCTTCAACCTAGAGTAATAAAACTCCTGAGACAAACTATTGCAAGGGTTACCACATCAAGTCTACATTTGCTGCCTTAAATAATTGCTTTTAAATATCTTTTAGGTCCACAGTGCCCTCCAACACCCAGCCTAGTAAGGAGTCAGCTGAGGAATTTCTGTTTTCTTGTTGTGCCTTAACACTTCCCAGCTGTAAACTCAGAGTATTTTCACACCTGGACTTGCTGCCACCCCCCTGCCAACACCAAAGTCCATTTCCTTACTCACATTTTGAAACATTTTGTTTTCTTCCTGGAGCCTTGTGTTTTTATTGTCAGATAACTTGTAAGCCTTCTCAAAGGCCTCCTCCAGCTCCCTGAGGCGGGACTGCAGGCGGCTGATGGTGTTGTCCTTCTCCTTGTGGCTCGTGCGCATCTCCTCCAGCCGCTCCTGCAGCGCCTTGGAATTGTCACTGAGGGCATAGAAACGCTCCCTCCAATCTGCCTGCAGGACAGCAAACATCCTTTACAGTGTTTGAAACAGCCTTTTTTCCTGGCAGATTAATTATTTCTAAGATTATTTTTAATTTCAATGAATTATCTTGAAATCGCCCGCACAGAAAACAAGGATACACCTGTACATGAACTAAACAAGATTTTTGCTCATTTCTTTGGCTTGGAAAGAATGAAAATGAAGATTAAACCCACCCAAAATGTATTTATTGTATAGGATTTTAAATATCTAGAGGTGAGACCTCCAATCCATCTGACAGACTTCCCAGCATAGAAAAATGCCTATAGAAGGTGGAATTAATCTCTGCAGGTCTAACTCTGATGACAAAGTTCAACTGTCATGACAAATGTCCTGGGTTTTGACTAATAATAATTACCTGGCTAATAATTAATTAATTAATTAGAATAATAATTAATGCAGGTATGCATTAATTTATGCACAAGCAAACAGGTCTGCCCTAGCTAGAAAAACAGCAAATATACCTAAAGAGGGGTTTTTTGCCCCAGCGTGAGATTTCTTTTATCACCAATCTAGTAAGAAAGTAATTAAAACAAAATAAATAAAGAAAGAAAATTAAAGAGGAATGGGACAAACACATCACAGTATTTCACTCTTAGACTTTGTTTGATCCCTGCTAACCTGAAAAAAAGTTCACAAGCAACAGTGATGATGATTCAAGTAGGGAATCCTAAGAAACTCAGGTAGGAAAGTCACTGTGTAACATGTGGGCTGATGTTATAGATTAAGGGAAAGGTTTTAAGGTTAAAAATAAAAAGAGAGAAGTATGGAAACACTGATCAACTGATTAATGAAAAAGTTAATTCTTTTACCCTTTTACTTAAAAAGCAACTTGGTTTAAGAACAGATACTTACCACTTGCTTTTCTAGTTGATTATTCTTACTTTCAAGGGCTTTTATGTGAGCACTTGCTTCATTCAGAGCTGAATCTAACTGGTCACACCTGTTTGGAACATAGAGATTACACCAAGCTCTTGAAATCTACACATAATAAACCTACATTTTATAGCCTTTTTTCCTTCCTCAAGCATCCCCACAAATTTTGGTGCCCAGTCTGTGATCTCCTCCCACATTTTTCAGCCCCACCAGTGTCTCTGCTCAGAAGGGCTGTGGTGGACTGGGAATACATAAATTTTGTGCAGTATTTCAGCTGTCTAAATGTGCAATATGTGTTTTAACTGTCAATAATTACACAGAAATCACATCAATATTCTCTGTACAGCAAACACTCAAGCTGTAGATAATGGAATGCACAGCTGGGGCACCCAGACTCCAGGGTAAAGGCAGCAATGAACTCAGGACTGCTCCTGTGAGACCTGTGGCTGTGACATGGAAGGTACAGGAGGATGATGTTCACCAGCATGACAGGAGAGCAGAATCTTCCCAACAAAAATCAAAATCATTCCATTACAAATTGCTCAGAGTACCTCTGCCTGCCAGCCAGTCCTGAGGGAAGCTTGCACTGGCTCCAGGAAAAAACAGGTCAAACAAGAACTGTGGTCCAAAGACCACATTTACTGTCTAACAATAGTGAGCTGATCTCCACAGAAACATGGAATAGTTCAAGTTGGGAGGGACCTTAAAGCTCATCCAGTTCCAACCCCCCTGCCAAGAGCAGGGACATCTTCCACAAGATGAGGGCCCTGCCCAACCCCTTAACCAGGGATGGGGCAGCCACAACTTAGCAACTGCATTAAATAATGCAAAGTTTATATTTAAGAGGGAAATGTTAGTATCACAGATACATGAAATCTTCAGAACTGAAGAGGGACATAAACTGTTCGAGACATTCCAAACAAGGCTACTCAGTCTTGAAAATACACAGAGCACCACCTAAAGAGAAAGACAGGAAGGACAAACAGTACCTGTCAGCAAGGCTCTGATTGATTTGCTTCAGCTCCTCAGATGCAGCAGTTCTGTGGCTGGACTCCAGCTGCTGTTTCAAGCTCTGGATCTCACAGTCATAGTAAGCTCGTAGATCAGCGATGTGTCGGGCGTGCTTTTCCCTCAGGCTCTGCCTAATCCTGTTTCCAATATAAGAATTTTAGAGAATTCCAGCCATGCACACGATCATGTGGATTAATTTGTGGATTCTGGATTCATTTGGACATAATGAACTCAGCACAGAGATGTCCCTTACAAAACTCTATTTGCATTGAACCTAAAGCAAAGACAGCTTTGTCATCTAAGGCAGAGAAGTCTTCGCATTAATAGAGATAAATATTATGATTATTATATACAAATTTATACTTATATACCTGTATATTAGTTTGTATATACAAGTATATATGATTATTATATACAAATAATATATACAAACACAAAATAAAGCTTTACTTTTTACTTTAAAGCTTTACTTTTACTTTAAAGCCCTCATACATGGAATATATGCCCTGTCTGCTTGTCCAGTGCAAATCATCAGAGCTTCAACAGTGAATGGAGGATTTTTATTTTTCCTAAGCACAGTAAATTCTGTGCTTCTCTGCATTTGATTCTAGAGTAAAAAAAAACTCTCCCCAGAACTTTTAAATTCTCTGCCTAAATGAACTCCCTCACACAGCCTATGAGAAAGGATTTATTTTTATGTATAAAGAGACACAACCAAGAGAACTCACGTATTTTGTTTGGCTCACTACCATTGTTTCGTTCCTTTCATAAAAGTACCAAACTTTTGACTTTTAAAAAAGAAAAAATTACTTACTTAGACATTACCACAGGATCTTCAAGAGATGCCACTGAAAGGCTGTAATCTGGCAAAGTGCTGTCAGCACACTGAGTAAGAGAAGATGGAGTTAGAGTCAGAGTTTCCTCCTCCTCAGCGTTGACAGAATGATCATTGTCAGCATCCCTGTGAGCCACTGGGAAGGGAGACCTGGCCCTGTTTTCACTCTGGAATGGGTGATTTCTCCATAGGTCCAAGTGCACAGCCCTGCTGCTGGCAGGGTGTGTTGGAGAATCATCCAGCTGAGGTGAATGACTTGTCTGTGAAAAAGAGTCTGTGTCACAATGACTTGGAAATCCGGGCTCTGCCATAGAGTCTGGAGAAAAGGGAGCAGAGTCTGCAGGAGTCCTGAAAAAACAGAGTCCCTGGTTCTGCTGGCCTGGCTTCATATGCAGGGTCGGGTCCAACGTCAAGATCTAGGAAATAAGTTACAATGCTAAAAAATTGTGATTTAACTCCATTTACAAGAACAAGATTTATCTCAAGGCATCAGTAAACCATAGAACATACTGCAGGTATTATACTGAATATTATTACAATCATTTGGAAGTGACAAATAAAATGTCAGTTCTGCAACACTGAAATGACAATACACATTCCCAATAACTGCAACTTGAGTTTCTAAGTTTCCATTAATAAAGGACATATCCAAGATCTGTAGCTTTCTAGAAAACCTCTGAAATTTCAGTTATGCAGCCTGGAAGATTATGATGTCTGCCTGTGTGTTGAAACAGTAACTTTGCAGGGTTACAAAAGCACTTCATCAATTACCTAAACAGTACACACAGCAGCCACCATTCCTGAGTTATGTCCAGGACTGAGAGCTATATAAAAAATAGACATGAGAAAGAATCATTTCCACAAGCTGTGCCTGCTCTGTTCCATGGGTGGAACAAACCCTGGTGCTGCAGTTCCAGGTGCAGCTCAGCAGCTGCAGCCCCAGCAGCAGCGGATCCGTCCCTGCGGCATCCTCAAGGTTGTGCAGCAAAGGTGTTTCTCTGCTCAGGCTGTTCTTAGAGGTTCTCCAAGCTGGATCCTTTCCCAAGCTGCTCAAATTGCTGTTCCAGCACAACACTGGAGGTGGCAGCAGGGGCCAAGCCGTGTGAAACATGCCCAGCACATCCTCAACTGATCCGTGAAGTAAAGAAATTGATGTTACCTCTGGTGGGTGGCTTGGCTGGGAAGAAGGCGTAAAACTCTGGTCTGGCAGCTGCTGGTTTTCCCTTTGTCTTTTATGATAAATATCCTTCAGTGATGACAACTTCCTTTCATCAGCAGAAGACAACTTCAACAGGCAAAATTGCTACATTACTTCTTCTGAACACAATCCTCCACCCCCAACAAAGATAAGCGAGTTCTGGGGTGGGTTTAGCTAATAAAGCAGCTCAGAGCACACAGCTTCACTCAAGCTAAAAAAGGGGTTTTAACAAGGCACATACTCCTTTAACATACTAATTAGTCACTCCTCATCTCCTATACACAGCTCCTTTTGAATGACAAAAGGTCAGTAGATTTCAAGGGAGGTTAGTGGGGTGCAGGAATAATCCCAGTCTCTCTTATAAGAGACTGAGATAACAAAAGAGTTCTTTCCATCACAGGCAAACAGCAAAGACAAAAAGCAACTACATAATAACTTTTAAACATGTACAAAGTTTACCTGAACTGGTGATACTTTTGTGGAGAAGACATCAGGCAAGTCACTTCCAAAATTCTCTGGTAAAGTGTGATACATCTCCTTTTCATCTAACTTCCAGTATGAAAGTCCTGATGAAAAAAAATACCAGAAGAAAATTAATTCTACAGATGTCAAGCTGGCAGCTCTAGAAGAGGAATCCAAAACCCATTAGTAAAATGTTATTTGGTCAGTAACAAGAATGGTACATTAGTTATTTGCATTTACTGCTCAAGGATGTCATTAGAGCATTTATTACCAGGCCAGGAGTTAGAAAAATCTCAATGCAAAGCACAGGCAACATAATCAGTCTCACATCATCCAGCACCAGGGACAAAAGCTATAAATCAGTTCAAATACACAGATTTGGTGTTCAAGGGGCAAATCCTCATTTACCATGACTTACATTTCTAATGATTCCAGTATAGCACTTAAAACTGGCACCACCCAAGGAACAATCCCAGGCAGGCACCTGATATTACAAACTCTTCACTTTGCGCAGCACTCTGCAGCATGCAAAGACAAACTACCAGGACTAAGAGGGATGGCACAAGAGGAACAGACACAGCCTCAATCCCACTCCAGTCTCTTAAATGTGTCCCTCTCTCAGTGGCTTGTGAAGAAGCAACAATTATACAGAGTTTGCAGGGCTGCATCTCTGTGCCCCTGCTTGTTACTGAAATGAATCCACCCTGTTATGATCAAAATATGTGAATTAGTTTGTCTGGCTTTGATAAAAAGCCCCAATAACCACAACCCCCAAACCCATGCAAATCCACCACCAACCACCCCTCACATACACCCCCAAAAGCACGAAGCCAAGCCTTACCAAAACACCAAAAAGCAACCCTCCCCCCAAATTAAATAATCACCAGGTTACACACTGCATTATTCTGTTCCTGTCTATTTACACAGTTAGAGAATCATGTAGATTCTATATGATTCTATAACTGTGTAAACAGACAAGAAAGAATAATGCAGTGTGTAAAGAAATTCTGCCTCTATTACCATCAACTCCTGTAATTACCACACCATTGATGCTAATGTTTCATATCCTGCCATATTAACATTAATTCCATTATGAAACAGCTTTAAACACCAGGTTCAGCTTTGAAATGTTGAGAAATTTGGAAAAACATCCCAACTGCTGCACGTCCTACATCTGCCAGCAGCAATACACAGGAGCTGCCATCAGTTTGAAAACAGAAGCAAGAAACAGAATTAATGCTATAGCAAAGCCTGTCAGTGCTTAAATCCTCCTCACCTCCCTGAAGTTATTGGGGATGCATTCCAGTAAGAGTTTTAAAAATGAGAATTTAAAAGAAAGGGAATTTAAGCACAAGAAATTAACTATACCTGAAGCTTCTGACACTACAGAATTTGGACTTTCCTTGGGTTGATTGAGGTAAAAAGTGTATGGTGGCAAAGCAGCATCAGTAAGGTTTGTCTAAAATTACAATGGAAAAACAAATTCAGAAGGAAAAACCACAAGGTAAGGGAAAAAAAAAAACAAACAAAACAAAGGTACAATGTTTAAAATTGCATGTAAATGTTATTAGACTTTTTAAGCAAAGAGATTAAATACAATTATACAGCATGATCCAAACCTACAGCATTTATATTGAGGGTAATCATAGCCAAAAGTGGAACTAAGCTAATCCACATAATTAAACTGGTATTGCCTAAAACATGTGCCTGTGTTTTTGTCCTGAGCAAAGTGGTTAATGCCTTAACACACAAAGAATCCTGTGTGCCAGAAGAGGAATCACCAGCTGAAATCAAAGATCCTTTAAAAATTACAGGGCACAATAAACTGCCATGACCTGAAGCCTCAGCTGAGAGTGTGGCCTCATCTCTAGAAGGAGAGAACATGTGCCACTCAGGGAGGGGTTAAGACAAAAATTAGGCAATGAATAAAATAAACCAAAATAGCTCCGTGCCTAAGTATGGAATGATCCAGGAAGTAAACTATGCCCACATGAACTTTAAATATGTGAATGGGAACTCAAATGCTTAAAATATGAAAGTATATGCTGAATGAGAACATGCTGTAACTCTGAAAAAATACCAGTCACAAGAATAGCATTAGAAAAACATAATGAAATACAAAGAGACTTACATTCTCAAGTGGTAATCTCTTCACTCTCTCATTTTCTTGCATAGAGTTCACACATCCTTCATCTGCAGTTACTCTTTTTGGTTGGGTTTGTTTCAGCTTTTGTGCCCATGACGTTAAAGATTTACTAGATGGTAAGAAACACACACATATATTTAGGGGAAATTCCTCAAAGTGTATCTCCAACAGCTAAACACTGGAGATGAGACCTGTATCACTCAGAAACATCAGGCTAAATAAATATATTTATCTATCAAGCAGCAGAACATCCAGAGGTTCCATTCAACTCAGGCATGCCCCCAGTGACCACCAGCTTTTACTGAACGGGGATTGTCTATAATAAATTACCATAATTAGAAAGTTTATCACTTACTTGGCTTTTTTCCCACATTGATGCTCTTCATCACCTTTATGCTCCAACCCAGTAGGAAAAACCAAGCTCTCTCTCCTTCCTGGTGAAGGATTCTCCTGTGTGTTTGTTGCTGGGAGTTCTCCTTGGTTCTGAAGGCGGCCCCCGTGCAGCCCCGGCGCGGGGGGAGGCTGGGCCGAGCAGGGCGCGGCCGGGGCAGGGCTCAGCTCCGCCGTGGACAGGGAGCCGTAGCCGCTGTTGGCGGAGGGCTCGCTGCTCACGGAGCCCTCCGTGCCCGCGCATTCCCGCTGCAGCCCCGAGGCCTCGGCCGGGCTCTCCCCCTCTCCGGATCCCAGGCGGCTCCCCAGGCTCTCCTGCTCCTCGAACGCCTCCGAGCACATCCCCATGGGGCCCGGCAGGGAGGGCACAGCCCCGCTCCCGGCCCGGGTGCTGCTGCTCTGTAACCTCACCAGCTGCTTTAGCTCATCCTGAATCAGCTGCACGGGGGGAGGAAAAGGCACAACTCCCATCAGATCCTGCCAGAAGTCACATTCCTGTTTAGATGCATCTTCTATTTGTGTTATTAGCGGGAGATTTAGAGTATTTATTCCATATAACTCCAAGTTTTCATGTGCAGACATCTCATGCATAAAGTAGATAAATACATACTGTGCATAACAGTAAATATAAATAAAACAGTAAAAATAACAGTAAAATGTCCATGGGAACAATCCTGAATTCCATGCAGTGAATTACGAGTCTCAGTAGTCATTTATTCATGTAAAAAACATGCATGAATGTATTCACTAATTGCCCTCAGAACTACAGTTACCTACCAACCAGCTAAGGAAATACAAACTACCCAGGTGTTGGGCTAAATTTAGGTCTGAAACACTTTTTCACTTGGATACACATTTTTAAAGATTGCAAGGATGCTTTGATGGAAGAATTAACCATTACTCTTATCATGAGAATAGGAATAATGTACCTCTGCAAGATTATTGCATAAAACTTGGCTTTAAAAAACCCAATTTGGATATTATGCTGTTAGGTTGATATGGTACAAAGTTCTACCTTTTGATTGTTCTGGTGGCTGATGGAGTGGAGCAAACCCAAAACTGCATCACTGGATTTAACAGGTCACTTGCTCTTTAGCCTACAAGACTTATTTCAGTACATTAGGTCAGTAATTTCTGAAGTTCTAAGTTTTACAGCTGTGCTCTGGAAATACTAAAACAGCTCTGAGAAATAATTCATGCTTTTGCCAAGGGCTGTGAAGAGATTTCACATTTGTGCCTGTGGCCAGCACTTCTGCAGAGTCCAGCTGAGATTCCTGAACTGCAGGAGCACACAACTCTTGCACATGACAGGACAGAGCACAGAATTGTTTTCAAGAATGTATTTCAAACTAATTCCCTCGGGAAAGGAAGAAGGAAAAAACTTGCAATAATTTTAAGAACATGGAACTCATGTTTTTTCACAGAACTACAGTCCATTACTCACATGTGAATAGCAACTGGAGAGAACAAATTGAACAAAAATGATTTGTTCTCTCAAAGTAAGAAATAAAAAAGAATATTTAATTTCAGAGGAACCTACATGTAATGCTAGTCAGGATCAAGCCTCAGATTTTTTATTAACTTGCAATAGAACAAACAACTGAATTTCAGTTCAGCCTTTCCCTGCCAAAAATAACAAACAAACAAAAAACTTGGGATGAAGTTTCCTTCCACTACAAAGTTTTGTGTTCTGCTAATGATTTCAATCATGACTGCAGCAATCATTTATATTTCAATTTTGTAATCCAGCTGTCAGGAAGGTAGGGAAGGGAGAAAAGAAGGGAAAGAACAGAACTGGAGTGGGGGGAAGAGAAGATCAGATTCACTGCTGACATTCAATCTTTGTCATTCCCTGTGCAGGAAAAGTGAAAGGCTCCTATTCCAATTAAATTGCATTTTTACTTCTTTTTGCATAGTCAAAAATAACTGCAAGAGATGAAAAAAAAAATGGAAAAATAAGATGTACGTTCTACAGTTTTGGGATTGTAATTTTGGTTTTAAAATCTCTTTGATAAAGTCTGATCATGGGATGATCCAGCTTGTCCCTGGCACAGTTATCTTTTTTTTGCATAGATCACATAAGCCAAGGGCTGCCCCCACTGATTCCAAAAGGAATTCAAGGGTTTTTATCCCTGTTCTCACAGGGATGGAGATTTTAATACACTTGGTCTTGAAACCCAGCATGGAGCAAAACTTATCTCAGAGTCATGAGAGTGCTGATCCAGCACCTTGCTTTTCTACCACAAAAAGCAGATTATTATTATTATTATTATTATTATTATTATTATTATTATTATTATTATTATTATGTCTTTTTATTACTCTCACTGGAATGTGCTGAGCTGCCTGTGTTTCAGTGTTTTCCCTGGATCACTGGCACACCAGGCTAAGTTTGGAATAGCCCCATCTGTTTTATTTAATGCATAAAATAGCTCAGTTCTAGCTGCTGATTTTGCATTTAGTGTGGCACCCCATGCAGTGAGAAAGCCCTGCTGACACCACACCCTCAGCTCTTCCAGAGGTAACCTTTCCTATTAAAAAAAGACAAAAACCAGCAAAGCCAACACAATGGATTAGTAGGGACTATGATCAGCAACGAGTGAATCAAACCACTACAGTAGGAGGAAGGAAAAACAAGGGAAAGGAAACAGGAAAAGAACAAGATGGGAGAGGGGGGCAGGTGAGGCAGAGAAACAGGAGATAGGATAAAAGGACAGTACCTCTTGGTAATTCAGTTCAGGAACTGCTGATTACTACTAGTGTGGAGGGCATCAGGAAAGGGAAGGGAAAAACAGCAACCAAAATGATGAAGAAATTAAGCATTATATATTTATAGTTTTTATTGTCTGTTATATATACATATACATTGCTTTGTTCTAATGGATAAACAGGGTTTAGCAAAGATATGAACCTTCACATGGATTGTTTTCCATTCTTAGAAAGGAAACTGTTTAACTGAAGGTGAGATAGGTGTTCAGCTATTACAGTGATGCTTTTCCTGGGCTATATACTCTCTGGATGAGGGGATGATAAATTGTATAACATTTTTTTTAATGAAAAGAAAGCTATATTGGCTCAAAATTAGAAATCATACAGTCTAACAGTTCATAAAAACCTTGTACCTACAAAATCACATTATGAGGTGAGAATTCTGAACCAAATGTTGGCGAAAACAAAATAACTGAAAACAAATAATCCACAAATCACTCCTGAAATGGTTCCTAACAGTTACTTTGTTAATTAGCCAAGGCTGTCTCAAATATGCTCCCTTTAAACAGCACTCCAGTCATCCACTTCCATTAACTGCCTCTCTGCATTGTTTTGGAGGGAGAAAAAAATCATTCAGCTTTATCTAGCTCCATGAGCAGTCATCACTTACTTGGATTTGGTGGTGGAACTGCTCTTGCTGGGCATTTATTTGTTCCTGGCATTGTTTTTCTACCAGTCTCAGTAGCTGTATCCACCTTGTCTGTTAAATCCCAAAGTGAAATAATTAAAGCACAGAAATATTGCACCTCTTACCTTTTTCTCTGGCTACAAATAGCTTTGCAATCCTATCCAACACCTATTATGGTGTTGGCATAATCCAAAGTTGAGTAACAGCACTGTGGTGCCCACCCCACAGCACATTCAGCCCCCACCATGCCAATCAGTGGAAACTAAAAGTAGGAACAGCTGCCAGCAAAGAACACTCAGATTCTGGAAAGGTTGATTCCAGTTCCACTAATTACAGGCAATTCTAAAATTGATAATTAACCCCCCTTCTGTCCATCCACTTCAGTCAGAAACTCCTCCCCTCAGCAATCCAGCTAAAGGCCAGGATGCATAATTATGTCATGGAAACTAAGAGATGATTTTTTTAAAAAATCAAATACACAGCATTCCTGAAAGATGGCAAAATCTGATGTTTAAAAACTATTGGATGCTAATGTTTCTGGAGCCTGGTGCTTGAAGCACAGGACACGGGACACACACATCAATATTCTGTTCCTGGAGGTGTTAAAGGGAACCCAAATTAAGCATCTGTCAACACACACTTGGATGGATCCCAGCCAGGGAGCTCAAAAATTTGCAAGAACAAACCCATGGTGTGCAAAACTGATGCTCCTTATGATAACCAAATGCACTGATAAAATTTAAAATACAAAGGACAAAAAACATTCCAAAAAGAATTCTGGAGAATTAGTTCATTGAAACTACATCATTATTTTTGCATTGGTTTAAATCTGGAAACAAACTAATCACCTACACATCTTTACACATGGATTATATAAATAAGTCAAGCAAAACAGAACCCTAAAAAAAATCCCTTCTAATTTTTAGGATAATTTCAGACCAGTTTGATGTGATACAGTTTTAATGGTTTAAATTTTTCAGTTCAAGAACTTCCCATCTTTATTGTAACTTTGGGGAAAAAAATGTTCAGATCCATATTATATTACAATATATATTATTAATATAATATTGTTATATGATTAAACACCAAGATATAAAGACAAATTATTGTAAAACACTGAAATAAAATTGCAGTTAAATCCAGCCAGGTGATTAGTTCATTTGCTGTAAAGGATCTGTCCCAACATTAGGAATAAACCCAGATCTTGCTGCTGAATTGTATCATTAGATTTGTCTTCCAAAATGCAAAGCAAATACGTTAATATCACTTTTAAAAAAGAAAATTTAATATCAAATACCTCACAGTTCCTCACAATTTCTGAGTTAGCATGTCCAATGTTCTGGATATCTTGCATAAAGGAGGCAAGCAGCTCAACAGAACCAGGCTTTAATGAGGACCTGGTATTCCCTGAGTAACCAGAAACTCCACTGGGGTTGGATGAGGGATGTCTAGAGAAACACAAGGAAAACAGCTCCATTATTTATTGTGTCAGGTGTGCAACACAGTGGCCCAAACAATACCCTACATATGCCATGCTGCCAGAATTATACACTCAATTTAGGACTCTCATCCTGCTGAAATAAGAATTTCACCTTAATACCAATATTACTGTGAAGGCATGCTAACTAAGCAGAACCACAATAATGAGAGTATTTGTTAGTGATTCCTTCAGCACGTTACCTGTTAGAATTCAAGTTGCAGACACAGCTCTGGGTGTTTCTGCCATCAGAGTCTGCAGAGCACAAAGGGGTTTCTTGTACAGAATTCACCACATTGCTCTTTTCCATATCTCAGTCCCAGGTAAGACATTACCCTGAAAGCAGAGAGAAATAAACATCACTCTCTTTATTTAAAAACATTTGACTTTATTATATGAAGAAATAGAATTGGAACTGGAGAGACAGTTGTTTCAGCTAAACCATCCCAGAAAGTGCAAATATTCCACAGCCAGGCTCTCCCTTCTCCTGGGCCAGCCCTGCAGGCAGGGGCTGCTCACTCAGCCTTGAGCTCCAAGGATTCCCAACACATCCAGACTGGCTGGAGAAGAGGCTGAATGCAAAACACTCCAGGTAAAACCGTGGTCTCGGGGTCTGATTGGTTGTTTTCTTTAAATGTGGGGCTCCACAGACCATGTGCAAGGTGTGAAATCTCCTATTATCAGTGTATTTAGATGTGATTGAGGATCTGAACCTTCACTAGAAGAAACACACTCACCAAAAATAATAAAACTGAGATCAGCTGACTTAGAGCGGGGTCGACCAATTCTGCCATTTCTGAGTGTAATGCTTGGCTTACTTTTTTCACAGATTCCTTGTTTCACTGTTATTATGTAACATTAAATCAGAAAGCTTAAAAATTGAGCTACATTTCTGACCAATTAATAAAACAACAAAAAAAGGAGTCAAACAGGAATCCCACAGTGGTTGAAAACAGCAGCTGGTTAACTGAAAGCATCATAAATAAATAAATAGACAACACTTGGGCTTACAGCACTCACAGCAGACTGGCTGTGGAGAGACTAAAATATTCTTCACTTTCTAGTGAAAGTTTGCATACTTTCACTAAGAAAACCCTTGAAATAATTAATTAACCAGTTCTTACATAGGGCATATTCAGCATGTTGTAGACCCTGGTGAATTCAGCCTGTGTTCTAACACTGAAGAGAAACCTTATGATCATTCCATGGATGGAGAGTAAAAAGAGACATTAAGAAATATCATCTTGGTAGTCTGGTAACGCTAAGAATAAATTCCTGCTGCCTTAAAGAAGAATAACACCTCCAAAGCACAACCATTCCTCTTTACAGGGCTGATGAGTTTTACAGATTCATTATTTGCAAGTTCTTGGAGATATATCTCCAATAATTTCAGAAGTATAAAATATTTTTACCAGAAGGAAACGGATGGACAACTGCCCTATTTTCCTCTGTTTTACTGAAGCCTGCTTGGCTTTAGCAGAAATGTTTTCTGGGTACTCACTCACTATCTCCTCTGGGTAGGGCTGAAAATGCCAGAATTGGAAGGAAGTTATCACAGACACACACATCCCTCTGGCAGAGCTTTGTGGGATAAAGAAAAGAAGAAAAAAAACCAGGGCTTTCTTCATTTTCTAGAGGCCAGAAGCCTGCAAAACTTGGAGGTTGTCATAGCTGACAGCTACGGCTGAGGCTGGGAGTGTCACTGAGCAGGGGACGGGGGCTGCATCAGTCACCCCCAATCCCCAGGATGCAATCATGGGTGGCCTATCTCGGCAGCACAGCAAATGGGTGGGACTTAGCTGCGACACGGGCTCGTTTCATAACCTCATTAGAAGTCTGCTCTCGATAAAAAAAAAATATTAGCGAGCTGTAACTGCGCTGCGGGAGCGCTGTCACCCATGGATCGCACAGCACAGCGCGGCCCTTACACGGCCACGCAGCGGCAGAAAGGGGCACGGATGGGAAAATACAAGCGGCGAGGTGTTTGTAACTCAGAAATATCGGCGCTGATTTTGAGCAAACGCCGACACGCAGCCCGTGAGGTTCTGCAGAGCTTCCTGAGCCAGAGCCGACTCCTCCCGACCCCTCAGCGGTGCCAGGGCGGCTCGGTGCCCGCCGCCGCCAGGCCCCACCTCCCCACGGACCTTGAGGGACCCTCAGAGATCGCAACCAGTGCGGGGTTGCAGCGCCTTCAAGAGCAGCCCGGGTCTCGAGGGCTCAGGGACCCTTCTACCACGTCCGCTCCCTCGGGGCCGCCTCCTGTCAGTCCGTAACCCCCTCCCCGGCTCCGCGTGCGCCCCGTCCGCTCGCCAGCGCCGCGCTCGCCCCGCGGCGCCCGGGCCCCTCACAAGTCACCCCTCACATGTCACCCTCACTCAGCGCGGCCCCTCCACGGCCCCGTCCCTTCACCAGCGCCCCCGCAGCAGCTCCGCCGCCCCGCCCAGCTCAGGCCAAGCCCCGCCCCCGCGCTCTCATTGGGCGGCCGCTCCTCGCGCTCTGCGATGTTGACAGCGCCGCCGCCTCCGACTGGTTGCATCGCCCGTCACTCTGCGGGAAAGGGGCGGAGCGCTGGGGGCGGCCTCGCGGCTCCAGGATGGGGCGCAGGGACCCGGCCAAGCGCGGCGGCGCTGCCCCCGCCGGCTGCCCGCGGGCCCGCTCGGTTCATACCCGCATCGCTGAGAGCCCACGGCGCCCGGCAGCCACCTCCTCCCGCGGCCGTGAAGCGACGAACAGGCGCGGCCCTGCACCGGCCGCCCGGCGAGTGGCGGCCGGGAGTTTCGAACGTGGGGACGGGCGTAGAGGGCGCTCCGCACTGAGCCCGGCCCTGTGATTGGCCGCCTCGAGCGCGCGCCTCCCGCGCTGATTCGCTGCGCGGCAAAGCCCGCGCGCCGCCGCCAGGCGACCGGCGCGCGCCTCGGCGCCGGTCCCCGAAAAAACCGATTGGAGGCCGAGCGCAATCCCCGCCCATCTTGCGCGGCGATTGGCCGCTCCACATGCCAATCAGCCCGGCAGCACCGCCCTCCCCACGGCGTGCGCATGCGCGGTGCGGAGGGCCGGTGGAGGTGAGCGGGGGCCGGAGGGGTCGGGCCTGGTTCGCTTCTCGTTCGGTTCTCGCCTTCCCCGGTGCCGCTCCGCCCCGCCGGGAGCCGCGCTCCGAGCCTGACCTCAGTCCTCAGCGCTGCCGCCAGCCAGGGGGGCCGCGGCGCGGCACAGCGCTGAGGGCAATGCAGTAAATTCTCCGGTATCTTCTGTGTTTAGTCCTGCTTTACAGCTGTCCTGTCCAACAGCTGCAATAGAGGGATCGTGGGGTTTTAAACCTTATCAAGAGTTTTCAGTCCTGGTTTCAAAAAGGGTCCTGTAAGTGGGTAGAGCTGGATGAAACCTGTTAAATAAAGGCTCGTTCAGAACTAGCCAGAAGCGCTGCTCGGTTTTCTGCATGTATTCTTCATTGTAAAATGTCACTAACTTCTGTAGCAGCTGCCAATAAAAGTTTTCTTTTAATTATTTTTTAATTTGAAGAGTTATGTTCAAATTTTCTGTTTATTGCCAAGTGGCACTTTTTCACACACTGAAATATTTTCTTCTGAGTCAAATAAAGTATTTCAAGCATAACAGCATGTACTGTTTGAATTGCTTACCTAATACTGAAGAGTGATATTTGACAGGAGTAGGAGCTGACATTCCTCATTATCCGTGAGGAAAATGCACACTTCAGGCATACCTTTGTGCCTTTGTTAATAATATTGTGAATTCCTTGAACTGGGAATAATCAGGTTCCCCGTGAGGCTGTACAGGTCAGACTGCAAGACTGAAATAATCTCTTTTCCCTCTGTTGTTTTGGGTTTTTTCTTTTTATATGTTTAGTATTTTCCAAGTATTGGTAGGAGTATTGTTTTATTTACTGTTTTCCAGATCCCTTTCAAAATATTTTAAGAAACATCATTATATTGAGAACCAAAATTCTGTTCAGCATGGTAAATATTTCAAGGCAAATGAAACCAATTCAGATAACCTTGAAAATAAATCCGAATATTGAAATACTGCTCAATATGTGCAGCTAAAATAGCTCATCTTAAACAAGGATTCTCATGGTAAACAACTCTCTCCCATTCCATTCCAGGTTTTGTTGCAGAGAAGCCTTGTCCTGGTTTCTGTATGAATGTTCCAGGTTTATTTCACTTTGCGTTCTTACTGAGAGGGGTGCAAACACCATCATGGACAGGGTGGGTTCTGAGGAAGCAGCAGCTCTCTCTGCCCAGCCTGCCCTTGCTTCAGGCAGCAAGAAAAAAGAACTCTTTGAATCTCCTTGAACTGAGTGAGGCAGAATTAGAAGAACAGTTTGTAAGAGGTGATGGCCCAGGAGGTCAAGCCACAAACAAGACAAACAACTGTGTTGTCCTGAAGCATATTCCATCTGGGATTATAGTGAAGGTAATTGTGTTTTGTTTTATTGAGTCACAAATTGCACCAAGACTTGCAAGTCTCCTTTCAGAATAAAGCTTTATCACAGTGCAGGTGGCATGGAAGAAAACTTTATATTTTTTTTTCATATTTATATTTATATTGTCAAGAGTCTCAGCAAGAAGCAGTCTTGCCTGTCAGCAGATAAATAAACCTGGGGTCAGAGCTCCTTTTCCTGGCTTTGCCACCCAGTTACAGTTCTGTAGTTTCCAATTAAATTAATCTTCATTGTAGCTGTCACATTCCTGTCCCTCATGTGAGTTAGAATCTCTTCCTTAGCAAGTTGATCACTCTGCAGATCCCTTTTAAGCATTTCTCTTACCTACTTCTTGTGGATTAACACCTTGAAATTAATCTTTGCTTCCTGTCACAAGGGGAAGACACAGTTAAGTTAAACTCAAGCAGCTTTCCTGGGTAAGATGGGAAGCATTAAAGATTAATGCAAAAGCCAGTCTGATGAGTTACAGTAGCAAATAATTATTAAAATATATCATCTGGATTTAAAAGTTGCAGCTGTTGTTGGTGGGAGGATGCTCTTGGCTTGGGGAGGAGGGGATTTTCTTTATTCTAACGGTAGGAATGTATAGACTGGAAGGGAAAGCTGAAGAATAAACAGGTAAAAGTTTCAGTAAAAATGTTCTTTGTATTTCTCCAGTGTCATCAGACAAGATCAGTGGAGAAGAACCGAAAGATTGCCAGAGAAATCCTGCAGGAAAAAGTTGACCTTTTCTACAAAGGAGAAGACAGTGATGTTTTTAAAGAGAAGAAAACATCAGAGAAGCAAAAGCAGGAGAAAAAGAGAAGAGCAAAGGAAAACCTAGAAAGGAAAAAGCTTTTTAAAGAGATGCAACAATTGGATAAGGAATAAACATGTGAAATATTGCCTTGCCCTGGCAGGGTAAGAGAATTGTTTGTCATTAGCCCCAAACACTTTTCCCACTAACAAATGATGCAGGGCTTCATAAGCACAGCTGAAACCCCAGTGCTGACCTGCTGTTCCTGCAAAGCTGAGCAGATAAAAGCACTCATGTACTCCTGCCTCTCCCTGCCATCATCTCATTAATCACATTCAGCAATCAGTTTTTCTGCCAGGTCCAGGAGATAAAGGAATCCTTGTTAAAGAGGAGCTATAAGCTTTCCACCATTGTTAGCACAGACCAAAAAAAATCAATAGATTTCCTCTTGTGCAGATGACACCTTGGGCTGCTTCCTGGGAGCTCCAGCACACGAGAGCAGCACTAAAAGGTTCTCACTTCCCATTCTTAGCCAGGCAGTGCCTTCAGTGACATAAATCCCTTATAAACTGGGACCAGGTTTGGGTGCTGGTTGTGGTGGTGTGAACTGAAGAGACTCCAGTCACTGGTTCTGATCCTTCAGCTGAACAAATGCTCTGTCCTGCTCACTCTGGATAAAATTTACCCAGCAGCTTTCCAGATCTGACCTGGAGTGGTGCTGAGCACTGGGCCACAGGGAGGGCCCTCCTGCAGGTCAGGGATGGTCACTCATGGCCCTTCAGTTCAGGGGTAAAACTGAGACATTACAGATAAAAAATTACCTGTCTTGGAAGGTGACTCCATCCAAACTGTGAATTAATTAATTAGAGTTGTTTGTTATGTTTATGCTGTGCTGCAGTTCAGCTTGGCCACGTTGGTACCTTCACTCATTTTGACAGTTTCCCATTTTATAGGAACAAATGCAGCTGTGTGTCCTTTGTCACCATTCCTCTGAAGCACTCCTGAAGTACATTTTTCCTGCTTTTATCCTGTTAACAACTCCAGCAGCTTAACCAGAACTTCTCTTTGATTTTTGGACAGCACCCTCGCCAGCTGCCACCATGTTTTGGCCTTCAACAAAGCCCCAAAGCCAGAGTATGGATTTTGAAGGCAAGAGAGACTTCTAGAACTTCCCCTCGCAGAGGCAGCTGTACCCTGTGCCATGCATGGAGTGCTCCAGCAATCTGCAGGCCCCTTCCTTGTCCTTTCCTAAACTCCTGCATGAAGGTTAAATTTTCATCTGTTGACAGTTCTTGCTCCTGGAGTATGAATCTGATTAAAGTGACTGTACATAGTTTTAATACAAACTGTTAATGAAAATAAGCTTTATTACGTCAAGTAATAAATACATACAAAGATGCAAATAACAGTTTTAGTAATTTATCCAGAATGTTCATTTTTCTTTTTTCTTTTTTTTTTTTTTGCAAACTTTAAACTGAAATCTCCAGCCTTAATGTAGAAATTAGCTTTCCAGGACCTTGTTATTATTTAATAGGTTTCCCTATTTTCCATATAGCTCATGCACTTTAAGTGGACTTCAAAGCACTAACAGTCATGCAAATGTTTATGCAAAATGAACAAAAAAAGGAAAAATAAGAGAAGGGGAAGGTTATTTCTAAGCAGGGTCTATGCTGTATGACAAATTGTGACTTAGCAGACTACTAGGTACAGCATGCTATTCTGCATTTATTAAAAAAATCCTTAGAGCTTATGTCAAACTTTGAAAGATTGACGTTTTGGGGATAAGTGAACATAGTCAAAGGAAAAACAAAAAACAGAATGAGGCTGTGGCTGGATAAGAAGAGAACTGAAATATAGCCTGGGAGAGAAAGAGCATTCCTCTGCATGCACTTCAGTTTCCATGTTTTAGAAACATTTTAGGGAGTTTTAATGTCTTTAGAAAATGCAAACCCTCAGTAAGGTGAAAAATCCTTGGGTTGTTTTTTTTTTTTCCCCCGTTGTTAACTGTACATTTTTGCAAGGGCAAAACAAGAACGGTAAAACATTCAAAATAAAGGAGTTTGTCTGAATGTTTCAAGAGTCAAAAAGAATAAGTGTTACTTTTTCTTCATGGGGAGATGGAGAACCTTGCAGCTGAAGCTGGGCTAGGACCTCGCATTTCGCTCCGTCTCGGCCAGGCACTCCCGGACTAATCCTCTAGCATGGATAATGCCTGCAAAAGAGGTGCTGGTTTAAATCATCCCATCAAAAGTGTCTGAAATCATCCCATTCAGGCCACACTTGCAGTGACAGTGCACAGAAAGGTTTATGTATTTCTGTCCCCAGTTGCCAAGGCTACCAGAGAAGGCCTCAGCAGAGGGGACAGCCCCAAACTGCCACTAAACAAATCTGCCTTCCCAAACTTGCATTGTAAATGGAAAAGGGACTAAACCAGGGATCAGAACACAGTAAGATTTGTAAGTCTGCAGTGGCAGGTAGGTCTTAATGTGCAGTGTGGGCCTCCTTAAAATCAAAGATTTAAGGGGGGAAAAAAAATCTTACCTACCAGTGGGTTATTTTGCCAGTGGAGTGAAACAAATTACAAAGTTACTTGGGGAGTCATTTTAGCAAGCTCTTAATGCCTGGGGATAGTTCTCCTCTGGGAGAATGCATCAAAATCCAAGACATCATAATACTGTTAAAGACAAGTTGTGTTTCTCATGTAAAAAGAAGATTTTTTTTTTATGGTGTGCACAGAAAGTTCCCCCTAACACTGGCTCAGCTCCCAGTGTAAATCATCACCCCTTTACATGCTGCTCTCATCTGATGGACATGATGTGGAATTTTCCTCTATAAGTCCTGTTGCCTTGAGTTCCAGCAATCTGGACTTTGGTTCATAATCCTGGAACTAAACGTGGATTCATGCTCACAGAGCTGCTGGAAGAGCAGAGCTTGAGAGAGGTGTTAAAATGAGAGGTGGACAGATTTTCCTACAAGAAAGGTTAATATTTCGCTGACTAGGCACGACAGAAGGTGATTTCTCTGCTCATCATGCTCCTTAACAAGGCAGAGGAAGGGCAGCAAGGCAATAGAAGGGGGTTAATCTCTAGAGATAAAGGTTTCTGTTTCTAGAAGGCTCCTAGCCCAGATCACAGCAGCTGCCTGCTGACCTGGGAGGACTCGGTGAGTGCAAGGCTTGGCAGAGGTTAAAGTGCCACGGAGGAGGAAAGCTGCAGCTGTGGGATGCAGAAACATGAACTCAAAGCAGTGTGTTAGACCTGGATCTGGTGGCAGGGTGCCCAGTTCATGCAGCAGAACTACTCTGAATAATGTAGAACACTGGGAACTGGGCCAGTTTTAGAGGTCAGTAGTGCTCAGGAGCAGGCAGAGCTGGGGACAGGGACTTTATTCAGGGATAACCTCCGTGGCCATGGAGGCAGCAGTCACGTGTTACCCTCAATCATTCTGCTCTCACACTTGCACATGCTCCTTCAGCCACCAGCTCCCAAAATGGAAAGAGAGGTACCTTTGTGACCAAAAGATGGCAGCAAAAAGTATTTATTCAGGATTTTGTGCAACACTGGCAAGTCACAGTGGCAGCATTGTATCTTAAACCTATCTTGTTGCAAGAGGCAGCAAAGCAACTTTTTCCTCACTGAACCAAACCATCCAGCCCAGAGAACATCTGCATCTCTCTCAGTCTCTCTCAAGCTGTCCCCATTAGCCTGTTGCCATTCATGATCTATTAATACTGACTCAGGCAATGCAATAAAGAGAGACTCCAGCAACATTGATTTTAGCTGGGCCAGATTCCACTTACCACTCATCAGCAGACTTTATTGCATCCTTTCCCAGAACAGCTACTAGTCATTTTATTGCATGTCATGGCAGATATATTACTCTTCCATAATGGCTGAGCCTTAAATAAAGCTTTGTAGTCTGGGGTAAGTGTAAGGGGGATTTGCAAGGTGCTGAACTTAGTCTGTTACAATAACATTCCCATTCCGGGTTGAATGCATGAGCCAATCTCATCACAAGGACCACAGGAAGGGAGGAAAAAGTGAGCATGTCATGCTAGAGAAGGAGAGAACTGCCAGTGCAACTGCTGTCTGTGGCCCTTCAGGGTCATTTCAGGAGCTGGAGCAGTGGAATGTCCCATGTCTGCTCCTTCAGAAATATCCCTGCACGTCCCCTGCAGAGGACAATGCCAGGCTGATGTCAGCAGTGGGACACGCAGGGGTTTCTTTTACACTCCAAGGAAGGGGCTTTATTACCCCTTTTAGCTGACAAAGCAAAGCTGGAGACACTCATCAGCCAGCCCTAAAAGCTGCTCTGTCCCTTTCTAGTGGACTTTTAATGACATGCACTTGACAGGAGGTAACAGAGCCTAAGCAGCCCCACTCTCCTCTGCAGAGTTCTGTTCATGTTTGACATCTCAGCCTGAACAGCCTCCCCTAACACCTTTTTGGGGATTTTTTTGTAGCTCTTTTCTCCACCAGCCTCAATGAGAACTACCACAGAGTTGTATTTCTTTAGGCAAAATGCACTTCAGTGAATATTCCTGGGCCAAGTAGTTGGGAGATGAGTATGAGATGTAAACAATGCTTGGCTGTGGATTTTGGGGAGTTGGGAGAAAAGGGAATTGAAAGAGCAAGAAAATCGCCAGAATGTAAAAGAATGTATCCATGAAAGGTTCTAGAATATGAATTATTTGAATTTGATTTTGGATTACTAACTGAAACTCCCTGTATGCACATAAGACACTTTTTGTCACCGTTTATCTATCAAATACTGCTCAGACAGAGCATACCAAGGTCTCAGTTGCTGGTTAATCCTCCCACTTTTAGGAGGAGCTCAAGCTGTCTCTTTTCAAAGGAAATAGTTGTCATTAAGCTGTATACAAGTAGTCAGTGCACAAAGTGAATGGGAAATGATTATTTTTTAAAAGAAGTTTAAAAGTTACCTCTTTTTAGCCTCTCCATCGCACTTTTACTCCCAGCATATGTAGGTCTAATCTCTTTTCCTAATTCTTCTATGATAGCTAGAAGTTCTGCATATTTGCTCTGTGGTACTTGACTGCTGCTGGTGCCCTGTAGTTGAAAGTAGATTAATCTCAGTCAAATACTGTAAAAACAAAACAATTACAAGAAACAGCAAGTGGAAGTTTATGGAAGACCAGAAATAGCCCTGTAAATCACTTTTTAAAAGAACAAAATTTTGGGATTATTATATAAACATGATTTTTTTTTTAAATTGCTGCTACAGTTGGACACAATGCTATGTGCCCTTCAAAAATGGGGATCAACTGTGAGGATGCAGCTGCAAGCCTTGGACTTTGGGTGAAGCAAAGTTAAAACAGTCCTGCAAAACCAGCAAACCTGGAACTGCTTACTTAACCCTGTTTCTGGTTTTTCCATGTTTCAGTGCATATTTTGTGGAGAAATTTACCAGGTGGGGAGACTGAGAAGATAAAACTGAATAGAAATATTGAGCTTTTAACAAATAACTTTAAAATATGTACGTGCCCTTACAGAACATAATTCATTTCTCTGTGACTCAGACAGGACAGGACTAGCAGTTAATTAGGAACCAACCTCACTCAGCACTCAGCTTAGCCTAATTTGATCCCCAGACATGTGCAAGGAAGCAGTCTGCCATTTGGGTTTGATTTCAGACCTTGGTGGGAGGGAGGAGCACCTCAGATTACAGCCCACAATCCCTGCCACCATGCAAAGGCAGGGTCAGTGATCTGATAAAAAGGAAAAGAAGCAGAGCTGTACCTGCATCCCTTGTGTATAGCCTAGGGATGGGGGGCCATAGTCGTTTATGAGCTGTCTGTATTGTGCTGATGTTGCCATACTTGTGGAGGGAGAGTGAACGCCCCCAGCTGCAGAGAGAAAAGAAAAAAAAAAAGAAAACAAATTTTTTATTACCTAAAGATTAATTAGTCTGTTACACTGGGACACATTTTAATCACTTCTTCCTAAAGCTGTGACCTCTCACCTTTGCCTGAGATCACTAATGACATTTCTGAGTGTCACTGCTAGGAGGAGAATGGCTGAATTAATGCTTCTCTCATGTCTGATGAACACTTGGAAATAGCACAGCCTGCAGCATTATCAGTGCAAATTGTTTGCCTAAAAGTGAAGCAGAGTGCAGCATGACAGGTTGTTCTGCCTAGACAAACTGCAAGTATTAAGGAGCCCTATTTTTGCATATATACATTCCACACAGATGAGTCTAATGTGCCAGGCTATTTTTACTTTTTCAGTGCAAGTTATCTGAAAGTAATTTTGCAACTCAAAGTGTCATCACATGGTCAAAGCAAGTTACCCTCAGTACTATTTTCAGCCAATGCCAAAACTATTCCTAGGGAACAGTCAGTTGTGGTACATCAGATCTGCTGCTCATTGTGTGACATGGGAGGCGAGGAGTGCTACCATTATTCCTCTTTGTGTGATATCAAACATTTTTAGTCAAATTGTGCTGTATAAGTAGATCAAAGGGAAAATAACATCACTTTGTGTTATGGTTACTTTTTCTAAAGTTATAAAAGATTATATTCACATCTAATGAGTTTTGAGTCAGTTACCAGCTCCAGAAACAGACTCTAATGTCATCACTGACAAACTGCTCCAGAAATGAGCAATCAAAACACTTTCTCCCCCTTGTCCCACAATGGTAAGAATTCAGGTTTGAGAAACAATGGTTTGATTTTTTTTTTTTTAAGGGGTTTAATTATACTGCCCACTTCACAAGTGTGCTAAAACCCCTGCTGGTTATGCACTTGGCATCAAGGGAGCACCACAGCACTGAACTTCTTCACTCCTGCAGCCCAAGTGCCCTTGCATCCATGGATGCTGCTGTCTTTGCCTGTAGGCACAGACACAGACTGCCTGCTGTCTGGAAATATCTCCCCCCTTACAAACTCCTTTGCTGAAAATTCCCAACTGTCTTTCAGATGAGGAACAGATCTCATTTACCAGCCTTCATTTAAATCTAAATTAAACTGATGCTAAAAGTCACTGGGGCTCAGAACTATGTAAATCTCTAGCTTTGTTTTAAAGTTGCAAATTACTTCATTCCTATTTCCCCCTCTCTACAAAAAGAAAGGGCCAGCAGTTACTCTGTAAAAAGCTCTGCTGAACATAGTGGAACAGACTCTTTTCCTCAGATGGGAAGTCTCTTTCCACTTCAGAGTTATCACAGGATATCACTCATTACAAGGAGAGAGCATGTTCTTAATTTTTACTAGTTAACCAGAGGTGAAATCCCAAAAAGGCAAATTGGGCTGGTCACTAAGTCACCTTAAAAAAAAAAAAAAAAAAAAAAAGCAGAGTTTCTCTTTGTCTTTAACAAGGCTGCTAAATTTTATGTCATTACAACCTGCAGTTTCATCACTGAGGTTTCACATGGAGCTAATTTTGCTGAAGCATAGTAAACCCCCCCCCAAAAACAACAGAGCCATAGAGTAGGGCACTGTAGGAACAGCACAGTTGTCAGCCACTCTCTCAATTAGTTCTTCACATTATCACCTCAAAATACATGCACAAGTGTAAGATCTCTCCATGTGAAACTCAGTACTTCAAGTCCAGATGACTGAATTTCAACAATTACCAAACATGACACAACAGCAAACCGCATCTCTTTTCCAAGGTCTTCAAAATGCTTCAAAAACATTAATGAGCCCCTTGTGCTGCAAGGTAAGAAGGTTTAATTACCTCAATTAAGCAGAGAAAGGCTTAAGTGATTTTTCCTCACGTACAATAAAACAAAAGATCCATCCTGCAAAGACTTGTCTCTGAACTGTTGTTGCAAGCAGTCACATCCAAGAGCTGGGAGCTCCAAACTGGATGTGGATAAGGCAGGGACTCCCGGGACCAGACTTAGAATCCTGCTCTGCCCACTGAGCAAAACTGAGCTGCAGCCCATGCAAAACTCAGAGCAACTGACTGATCCCATGTGGGTTGATGAAAACATAGTGGTTAAGGATATCAGGAGATGGTGGGCATTGGACCAGGGGTCACAGCACTAAGCCTGGTTTGGGAAGCACTTGGATAATGCTCTCAGGCACGTGCTGTGAGTCTCAGGGTGTCCTGGCTGATGGGTCCCTTCCAACTCAGCATTTTCTGTGATATCACAGCCCAGACAATTCAGCGATTGTTTCACATTCTGTGATTTTAGCAATGACACACACTTGGTCTGCAGGAGATAACAGCGCGGGGTCCATTAGACAGGACAGACAAACTCTCCAACACAAAGCAGAGAGTTGGCTGACCGAGAAAAGTTTCACAGGCGTGGAAACAGCCCAGGGGCCTGACCCCAGCTGTGGCTGGGTGACACAAAAGGGAGCAGGGAGCGAGGAGGGATGCGCGGAGCGGCGCGGCCGGGGCGCTGCAGAGCGCGCTGCAGACACTAGAGGCCATCTGAGAGCGCCGGGCCCTGCCAAGTGACAGAGCCTGGTAACCATGGTGAGTTTACCCGTTTCTTTGCAGTCTGCATCAAAAATGTAATAAGACATAATGCCATGCGCCGACCACTTTATCAGCAGCAGCAGCAGGCCCGGAGAACAAAGGAAAGGATTTGGCTTGGCCGCGGTACCAGCCTCCATACATCCATGTCAGAAGTTGTGCCAGTCAAACTCGGCTGGAGGGGGGGAAAAAAGGAAAAATCCTTGGTTTCACCTCAATTTTAAATGATGCGGTCATGAAAATGAAATTAATTGGGGGGTGGGGGGGTATTAGTATCTCACAGGGCAACAAGCTTTTTGACCTATCACTTTGTATGTTAATCTCAGGGAGAAGCCCTGGGTCTTGGATGACTATTACTCAATTAACCCAAAATTCAGCTGCATGTCTGAGCAGTCTGTGTATCTCGGATTTAAAAAAAATTTTAAAACCCCCACCAGATATTGCTATTATAGTTAGAAATTAGGCCAGGAAGTCTCACAGTCAATACCCAGTCAAAAATCGGTGTGATGATTAGGTATTCACTAGAGAGAAAAAAGGAGGGGGGATCTAAATTGAGGCTTGCTCTCTCCAACGTTAAAATGACAATGGAGACAGTTAAGAACTGACAGAATGAAAAGGGAGTGTGCTTGGTACTGAATTTCAGTGGCACCCTGTATCACATCCCAAATTGTCTTAGTGCTTGCTGTTGTTTAAAACCTAAATTAATACACACACTTTCCTCCCTTCACTTTCCCAATTAAATGTACACAAAACCTTGTAGATCCTCACTTATTCTAGAGCAAACAATGTCATTTATTTCTGTATTCTAGCAGAAGACTGCCACAAGCATTTCTCCCCACAAAAATATAGTGATTTTCTTGTTAATTAATATTAATCTTTATTAATTACGGGGGGGTATAGCAAACAGAAATGAGATTTTGGTATCAAAATCTCTTCCTTCCAGCAGTCTCTCTCAGCCCAAATTAACACCCTGAGAGACAAAGGATCTCAAATCAATCTTTGTTTGCCTAAACTCCTGCTGACCAGGAACCTTCTCATTAATTCCTGATAGGTTTGTAGGGATCCCTTCAGCTCCAAGCCTGAGCAATGATGACCAATTTGCTGCTTCAAGATTTAATTCTTAATTCTATTACTGCTGCTTGCTGGAAAAATAACAGGGAAGGCAACTTGCTGAGCACCCTGAAGGAAACAGCAGGAGCAGGAACACTTGGGTACACTCACCTGATCCACTTTGGCAGATGCCAAGGCATCCACACAGCTCAGCTACCCCCCTGTTCCACAGGCAGCAAAGGAAAACCAGGAACGGTCACACAACTCACTGAGTTACTCATGTAGGACTGACTTGGACAAGCCAAGGGCCAAACCCCCTGGATGTGTGTTTCCCAATCCCCCTGGATGTGTGTTTCCCAATCCCCCTGGATGTGTGCTTCCCAATCCCCCTGGATGTCTGCTTCCCAATCCCACTGCATGTGTGCTTCCCAATCCCACTGCATGTGTGCTTCCCAATCCCACTGCATGGGTGTTTCTCTTCTGCCCTGTACTTTGTAAGGCCCTATAAAACCACATTTTACAGACCCTTTCCACACATGAACACAAGAGCATGTAAGAGGAGATACCTGCAGCCTGGACTTTATCCAAGGTACGTGGTGCAGCCAGTGGAATCTCAGCAGTTCTCCCTCTGTTTCACAAACCCTGCAAGCTGAGGCCGCTTGAAACATCGAGGCTGTTGCCATTTCAGTGGCTCGTGGTCACCACCCTTCCACAGCCCAGGGCTGGAGGTCGCTGCCTCTGCCACACCCTGCAGAACCTCCTCATGGAGTCCTGACCATATGGGCTACCAGACAACGAGGCTGGTACTGAAAGGATATCAATTCTTCTGTCCTAAACTAGGCAACTTTGCGAGAAAACACATGAGAAATGCTCCTGAAGCTGCTTTGCCAACACTCACCGTGAGGCATCCTCGAGCACCAGGGGAGAGGTAACAGCTTCACCCAGCACAGCTATTTCTGCAGGAACACAGCTGGAGTGTTTTGGCTGACTACAAGAATATTTTATTCCTTAGCCCTCTATACTCTTTGGTTTGGGTTCAACAAGAGCTCCTTGCCATCCATGGGACACCACATGCGTGTCTACACAAGTGGATCCACGGCACAGCCAAACCACACACTGAATTCTAACAGCAGCTGCCAACCCAGAGCTCAAACAGAGCCCCCGCTCCCCCCAAACTTCCCATAATTTTTAAAATTTAAAATAACGGACCCTGTTCTCATTCGCACAAACCATTCCTTATAGCACTGGCTGTGAAAATTGTATTTTCACCCACTATTTCTCCCTTGAACAGCCCTTGTGGAAGGAACAGACCTTTCTTTGAATAAAACTATTTCCTTTTAAAAAAACGCAGTGCACAGACACATAAATATGTTCTCAAGAACTAGGACATTCTTTATCGTAACAGCCAGAGGCCTTGCTCTTTTGATCTGTCACACTCTGGGCCTTTCCTCTGCTACTCTTGTGCTATTTAATCTTTCCATGTGGATAACGGTCATGGTTTATGTCTCCTCTTCCTGCCCTCCTGTCTCTTTCTTTATCAGAAAAACTAAAGCCAGTCCCTTGACTCCCCACCATTCTTCTTTTCTTGCTTAAGCTATTCCTACACCAGCAAGTTATTTGGCACCACAAGGAACAGATCAAGAGATTAAAGCATTTGGTATGTGTACACCACATGTAGCTGGCCTAAGGGGGTATGACTTAAGGTTAGATTTTAGTCTGATCGCCCAGACTAGGAGGGCATGGTTCAAAGCTGTGCCATCTTTGGTTTGGATCCCTGTGTTCCCCTTGCAAGGGATGGAGCATCCGTGTTGCACAACTGGAGCAGAGCTCCTGGGCCACTTTTATCCAAGAGGAATCCAGTTAGCCTGAACCCAAACCACTCTGCAGCAAAACCAAGGTGCTGGGTGGGGACCGTGGAGATTGGCTGACTGTGAAAACCACACTGTGAAAACTGCTCTCAAGCAAAACACTCAGGGAGGCAAAGCCAAAAGTGCCCATTTTCTAAATGCCCAAACAAGTCCACTTCAAAAAAATTGCTAATTCTGAAACATGTTTAGAGAGCTTCTTTTTGCATCATACTTAACTTCACACGGACTTCAAGAGATCAGGGATCCAGCAAATTTCAGTCTGAATTGGAGAGGGGAGCATATTTCCTAGAAATTATCCCCCCTGCTAAGGCACAAACACTTTGCTCTCTGTTCTGCCTACAAAGAGTATTCTTTCCAGTACTCCCACTCCAAAAACAACCTCTCAATATGGTCAACAATATCAAACAGAAGCTGTCTCTGTAAAGGGCGACAAGCAAGCCATGTGCTCCAGCAAGTCTGCAGTGCGGTGCTGAGAACAGAAGGGCCGGCCTCGTGTGCTGGTATCATTTCTCAGGACTGAATGGAACTGGTCTCTCCAGCTGCCAGCTACAGCCCCAGACAGGGAAATGGTTTTCATTTCACCTCCCAGTGAGAATTTGCACTTTTCACAAGAAACTTGTGGTTGCTGCAAGGTTTGGCAGGTGCACTGAGAGCCCCTTTGGTCCTCAGCTCCAGCAGCACTTGTTGTACAGGCCACGACTTGTTCATGTGGAGCCAAGACACAGCTCCTTCCCTTGTCACTGTCAGCTGGAATTGGTGTTTCCAGACCCTACAAATGACAGTTTTTAAGCTTTTTTACATGAACAGGACTTTGTCTCAAAACCTGACACTTCTGCAAGGATGAGAATGAAAGTAGAAGAAAATCCGAAGCTGTTTCTGCTAGCTTCTGTATCTTGAAACACATTTTCTCTGACCTGTGCTTAGTCTAAACAAAATAGGAATGCTGGTGAATATCCACTGAGCCAGAAAACACATGAAAACATGGTGAAAAACAAACTACAGACCTATTCACAGCTGGTGTAAGTGTCAAGTTCAGCTTAAGTCAATGGAGATGCTCTACATCACCTCAGCGCAGCAGCTGGTCTCTTACAGAGAAATAAGTCAAACAATATGAAACACAAGACAGATGAGGAGGAAACAGTACTTCCCAGGAATCAGTAGGATAAGCAAGAGAAGACAAACAAATCAAAACATGGTTGTTAGAAAAGGTAACAGAGGTTCCCCTGGGACACTGCAGGGTCAGGTGAGGCTGGGCAGGTAGAGCCACTGCAGGTCCTTAATAGAGCTCATTTACAGCCCAGGCAGAGAAGGTGCTTGTGCAGGAGATTAAATGGGGGTCCCCAGGCACAGGCAGCTTGGAATTGAGAGCTTGGGGTACTACATGCAGGAACCCAATTCCCTGAGCACAGGCCCTCTAGGAAGGTGACTTCAGAAAAAATTCGGACAAAACACTGCGAGCCTGACTGCAGCCACCCTGGGCCAAGCGTCAGCATTGACCTGGGCAACAGGGAAGAGGAGCAGGCACTGAATTCTGCTGTGACAACACATTCTCCTTCCCTCAGCCTGGTGTAAGGCAGAGGAGTCAGCACCCAGATGCTTCCAGCATCCTGAGTCACTTGTGGAGCAGCTGCATTTTCCTCACCCGCAGTCATCCCCAGATCTGCCGACAACCCACAGAGGTTTCCTCCCCGTATTTCCTCCTCCACAGCCAGCTCCTCTCCCTCTGGACTTCAGTCCAGGACTGGATTCCCAAAGCATGCTCCCATGCAAGAACAGAGCCCAGGCACCCACCAACCACAACTGCTTCATCTGACTGATGTGCAGTTTAAGTATAATTTTGCAGAGTGGCTACTCTCAGCCTCAACTTGAGAGGAGTTTGCTCTGCAGCAAGGACGCGGCTCCAAGAGCTGAGTCGACACTGCCTTCCCAAATACTCCTGCACCAGAAGCCCTGCACTGCAGGGAAGCAGCATTACCTCCCAGAGGAAAATCCCTGTGAGATCCACAGCTGCCCAGAGCCCTCCGTCGGCCGAGACCAAAATATTCAGCATTCATATAGAGAGGTTTCTGCAGGGCTGATTTCAGGCCAAAAGGGACAGATTTCCTGTATTCCTCTCCTCTGCAGGACGGTGGGGGGGGTGGGGGGTGGGGGTCCTTCACCCCAGTTTTGGAAGCAAACCCAGGATTTATCCTCCTGGCTGGGGGGCATTTAATTTAGGCACAATAGAGAAGCAATCTCCTCCAAATCAGAATTAAGCTCCAGAAAGGAGGGGGCCATTTGCAGTCATATCACTCTGAATGCGATATGTGCAACTGCAAGGACTGCTTTGTCTAAGTCCCTTGGCCTTAGGCCACGGTGCTGGCAATACCACTAGCTAGAGGAAGAGCTGGTGCGTGAGGATAATGGCAGAAGACAGGGAGGGAAGAGAGAGCCCATTTTGGATTCAGAGGAGGACGTTCTTTCATTGAAAAGATTCTGGGGGTGTTGAGGATGATCCGAACTCAGAAGAGAGGACAACTTAGACAAGAATAGTTCCAGCATGACAGCAAACTGCTGCTAACTTGCCGATACAAGGGGAAAAGGAGGGTGGGAGAGAAGGGGAAGATAAAACTGCATGAAAGAATCCAAAGCCCTGATCGCAGCCGGAGCGTTGGAAAGCACAGACACGGCAGCGAGAGGGCTGGAGACAGAAACTTCACCGCTCGGCTCGCATTGTGCGCGGCATGTCTGAGCCGGGATTTTGCAGTCCCTGCTCGCAGAGCAGCCAGACTCGGATCCCCTCCACTGCATGACCTAATCCCCACCCCTCACCCACCATCGCAAAATACCACCTTTGTTTTCCCTGCAATTTTACGGCTGTTCCGGAGAGCAAGGACCAGGTTCTCGTGGGAGCCGCCAGGAGAACGGTTTCCCTTTGCGGGGCTTTGTTTTGTTTCTTTTTTTTTTTTTCTTTTTTTTTTCCCCCCTCCGGTGACACTTCTGCTTTTTGTCACAAATCCTCGGCACATCCCCTGCTCCCCGACCCTTCCGCAGAGCAGCACTCGAGCCCCCACGGTGCTCCCCACACACGACCCCGGTTCCCCGAGCCTCTGCACCCTCGCAGCCCCACCGAGCTCAGCTCCATGCAGGATCGAGGTGGCACAGCCACCTCGGCTCATCCACCAGCTGGTGACGAGTCCTTGCAGTAAAATATGATTGCTGCTCTCCTGGTAGCTAGAACAGAGATGCATCCCGGAGATCCCTTTCGCTCCTCAGCTTCCCAGGATCACAACCACTAACGGTGCTGTAAAAATCACCCAGGCACATTTCCCTCCCTCCTAAACCCAACTCAAAAACTTTTTCTCAGGGAAAAAAAAAAAAAAAATCAGCCTGATTTGTGGCTGTCTGATGCCAGTCCTGCAGGCTGGGCTGCGGGGATGGGAGACAAATACGATTTTTTTAAGTCAGAACCAACTTCTCCATTTTGGTGCTGTTTAATCGGAGCCGACGAGCACAGATTAGCGAGATCCCTTCCAAATATCCCACAGCGAAGCAATTGCTGCTGCGGCTTTGTTCAGGCTGCACCGATTCACACACGGAGACCCGATGTACAGCAGCACCGCAGCACCGGCAAAAACCCGCCGGCTGATGCCTTCGGAAATCGGGAAGAGAAAAACGGGGGAACGTAGTTTAAAAAAGAAGAAAAAAAAAAAAAAGGCAAAAAGTTAACGCTGTCAAGGAAACTTTTTAAAGAGGAAAGTTGGAAAGACTCCTGTACAAATCCAAGGATGAAGAGTGATTTTTAAACAGGAGTTTTTTAAGAAATAGTGCAATCCCTGTGTGCCCCCCCATCCCCAAAAAGTCTCCAGCGAGCGGAGCGGGCTCCTCCGCTCGGGATGCGGGGGAGACTCCGACGGGGGAGCGCTGACCGAGGGTCGCCCCGAGGCGCTGGCGGTGCCTCCGCCGGCGGAGCTCCGGGACTCCCCTCCGGCCCGCGGAGCGCGGCCCGGGGCGGCCCCGCCGCCGGAGGAGGCGTGAGGCGAGGCGAGGCGCGGGGCGAGCGGCCGCACTTGCGGCGTCCCGCCAGCAGCGGTCCTCGCTGAGGCGCCGCCGGAATATTCCTGATCCAGATCAATCAGCCGCCCCGGGGAGCCGAGCATGGAGGAAACCCGGCGGCCGGAGCCCCGGAGCGGCGGCGGCGGCGGCGCGGGGCCGGGCGGGCGCGGTGCCCGGCGCGGGGGCGGCGCGGAGCGGGGCTGGCGGCGCCGGCCGGCGGGCGGGCGGGCGCGGGTAATGGCGGCGCGGAGCCGCTGCCCCGCCATACCGGACTGGGCACAAACTCGAGTCCGGGGCTTCCCCCAGGTGCCGGTGCGGCACCCGCCGCTCGCCTCCCAAACTTGCCACCCAGTTGCCGCCGCGGACTTACCCGGGTTGAGGGGAGTCCCGGGGATGTGGGCGTTCAAGTTGGGCTTGTAAGACATTCCCAGAGACATGGCCAGCGGGAGGAGGAGAAGCGTCCTGAAATTCAGCGAAGCGTCTCCGTGTCTCCCAGACACTTTGGGTTGTTTACAGCAGTAGCAGCACCGGCAAATATGGCCGTCAGTTATATTGACACCCACAATGCAATATATCATCCATACATCATGAGGAGACGCGGATCCAAAAACTTTGGGGGAGAGCCGGCAGCCACCCGCCGCGGCCGCCCGGCGCCCCGCGCACGGCGGCGCGGAGGGCGGGGGCGCGGCGGGCGGGGGCGCGGCGGGGGTGCGCGGCCATCCCCTCACAGACAATGGAGCTCCCCTCAGGGACCGCCGGCAGGCAGCGGGGCGGGCGGGCGGCGGCGGCGGCGCGGAGCCCGGCGGTGGCGCGGGGGGGGGGCTGTTTTAATTAACTTCGGAAAGTTTTGGCACAAGTTGCGGGTTTGGCCGGGCTGTGCCCGCGGCGGGGCGGGCGGCGGCCCCTGCCAGCCCCGGGCGGCCCTCAGGGCGGCCCGCGCGCCGCCGCCTTCCCGCCTCCCCCTCACCTCAGGCCGGGCGTTCACCCCGCGTCCATCCCCCCGCCAATCTCCATGGAAAATACCTGTTGATAATTATAAAATAAAATGTTCTTTTTTTTTTTTTTTTCTCTCGCCCGCCCCCCTAGATGCCGCCAAGAAAAAAACTGCCCTTTTTTTATTTCCTTTTTTTTTTTTCGAAGCCACTAGCTCTCTCCGCTTGAAGGTGGAAGGTTAATGTGGATTGCAGCTTCTGAGGGACTAAAAAAATATGGATCTCGTTGACAATTGGCACATTTTCTGCTTGCAAGCAGCAGTAAAACTTCCCCACCAAATTTTTTTTTTAAATCGGGTTAAATGATGAAGCTTTCCAGCATACGTCTGCCATCAGAACTCATCCTTTGCACTGCTAGATATTCAGGTTTGCTCTTTCTGTTAATTCATATCAAATACATTCGAAAATTGTTCCAGATTTATCTCAACAAAACTGCTTGGGATCTGGACAATCTCTCCTTAGGTGCACAGCCTGAGACCCCCCACATCAGACCCCCATGTATATTTTACCAGCAGGCACTCTGAGATTTGATCGTTTTATTGCATGTGCTACTTAATGTCCATCCATGGCCTCGTACTGCTCTCAATGGCAGTGACGGCAAACACTGAGAGCCTGATCCTGCTTCTTGGAGATTGGGGCACATTCCTGGTCAGTGACACTGACCCAGGCCCAGAGTGGCCGGCCCTGCAGAGGGAAGCAGGTAACACCTCCATCACAGAGACATGGAGAAATCAAATTATTTCCTCTGCATAAAGGAGAATTGAGGAAGAATGGGAAAAGAGGAGCAGCTTTGAGCCCCCAGCTCATGCCCTACTGACTGTGCACTGCATGAAAGAAACATCTGAAAATTCTGACTGGTCCCAGATGAAACACCGTTGTATTTTATTTCCACACCAAGTGCTCGACTCCAGCGATCCTGGTGAATTCCAGACTGGCACTGACTGTCCTTACTGATCCATGCTCTGGTCTACTAGAGAGAGGTCCTGAGAGCCCCAGGCTCAGAATTACATGCTCAGGGACAGTAGTTTCACACTGGTGCTTGTGATTACAACTGTGCAATTCTTCTTAGAGCCCTGAAAGGCTGCACTGGTAAACCTTCACTGTGTGAGTGAAAACTCTGCAAACCTAAAGCTCCACTTCCAGATTTGTAAATAACAGCCTTTCTGTTGAATCCTGGAAGGCCAGCGAAGTCCTGCACACCACTCTGGGATTTTCCATCCTGTGGTTGTTTACAGTCACACCAAGTGAGAGAGGAATGGGAGCACTCCGAGCTTGCCGTGCTTTTCACAGCTTTACACCAACTCTACAAAACTGGGCTCAGAGCAACACTGTGAAGGACAAGATCCCCTGTGTTTTAATAAAGACAGCTTCAAAATATCCAGTATTCCGAGGAGGAGGCAGGGGATGTGGGAAAAGTCCTGTAAAGTTTATTCTTCCTTCAGCACAAGGCACTGCGAGCTTTGGAGCAAGGTGCGAGGGCCAGGCTTGATGAGGTGGTCAGGCTTGTAGGGCAGCATGGTTTGTCCTGTAAGCAGGGGCCCAGCAGTGTCAGATCTGGGTATCTGGGTATCTGATGTTTGCATGTTTGCTCTGCAGTGTTCTGGGCACTGGCAGCAGTGGTGGCACGAGACACAAGACCCTGGTAAAGGACAAACTTACTGCTTGGCCTCAGACTCTATTTAAGATGACTTTACTCTTGGTTTTTTGGCACTCACTGCAGGGTAGGAAGTACCTGCAAGTTCTTCCCATCTGCCATGTGCTCTGAGGGTTCACTGCAGTTGTTCTGAGCCAGGTGTGGCCACAAGAACAAAACCACCATTGTGCTCAGGCCCTGGGCTGGCTGCTCAGCAGGGTGACCACAGAGTGGAGCTCCCTTGGAGGGGCTGCCTGTGGTTTCACCTTGTTTGGTGTGCCAGGCTGGGCTGCACGGCTGGAGTTGTGCTCTGCACACACAAGCTGAGCCTCGAGTGTGGCAGCTCCAGCTCCAGGCTGTGTGCAGCAAGCTGCAGGTCCCTGCTCTGCAGCCCGATGGCTCGGTCGTGTTCACTGACAGCAAATGCAGCTCTTCATCACCAAGTGGCCAAGTCACAGAGCAGGAAATACAGCAGAGCCATTTTATCACACAGGTGACATTTGCAAGCCTTCTGCACACTAAGATGTAACTTAAAAATAAACGTGTGAACTGCTGTTTTCCAGCAAGGGAGGATGGACAGGAAGATGTGTCTGTCTCTTCAGTCACTACAAGAAGTGCTGATGATGAATTTTCCATTTTCCAGGTACAGCTGCCTCTTCTGAGTTGTGTAATATCTGCCACATTCACTCTGTCCCCCTCCCCTTTCTTCTCTTGGTATTTTCTCTGTTCCCTCTCCTGGTTTGACTTCCTCACCTCTGCTCCTCCCAAACCACTGGGAATACTGAGCAGCCAATGTTTCCACAGAGTTTGCCTCCAGCCCGTGCTTAGCCAGAGCTGTGACTGATTTGAAGGAGGTTTTCCCTTCCCAAAGCTCTGGGGTCGGTGCCATGGCCCTGGGCGAGGGTGTAAGGAATACACATGCAAAGTGGGATGTTGGAAGGTGCTGGCAGCTCTGCCACAGAGCCGGGGGCCTTGGGCCATGCTGTGAAACAAACTCGTTTGTCCCCTTTTATCTGGAAACAGAACGAAACAGTCATCACAGAGCTGTGCTGTAACACTCACAGGGACCTGCAAATGAGGAGCACAAACTAGGCTTGTTCCTTATCACCTTGGGTTACATCAACTGTGAGAAGAATGAAAGGTGGCACAGTAAGACCCTCTTTTTTTCCTGGCATGTCTTTGACGTGTGTAAAACATTAAATTTGCGCATTAATTTTAATGTAATTAATTGTTGTCAGGCTTAATGAATTGAGTGACTTGGGGGTATTCTAACTGTCCCTTACCCACCACAGAGCCCCATGTAGCAGCAAGGGGAAAAAAGTGGGAAGTTTGTTCCTTTTCCTAGAGGGAGTTTATATTCAAATGCTTATCCCTGCATTTCTGGTGATCCAGCATCGTGCATAAAATAACCACAGATGCACCTTCAAGTTGCTCAGCACCAATTTAATCTTCGAGTCTCCAAACTGCTCTGGTGCTACAACTAACATCATCAGCCAAAATGAAAAGCCTCTGGTAGGCCTAGACTGAAAATTAAGCTTTTTAAGCCTTGGGTGAAGGCAAGGTTTAACCTCTGCGGAAAGCACGAGTGGTAGAGGCGAGTGAGTGTCAGCTCTAACAAACAGCGTTTTCAAAGAAGCTTTGCAGAGCTGAGTACCTTTCTCACGGGGATTGTAATGAGCCAGCAGCTCCTGGTGCAGAACCTTTCCTTCCCCAGAACACCCAGCACGTCCCTGGGACCCTGGCACAGAGGGAAAATTGTGCATTTTATGCTTTTTTGGCATCTATGTTGCTCTTTCTTATCGCTTTGCTACAGCTCCTTCCATTCCTGTCTCTGTTCCCCACAACAGCTTCCTGCTGATGCTACAAAGTTTCTCTTGTGCTTTTTTTTGTTCCCAAGGGAAAGCTGACAGCCTTTGGTGTCCTTCCTCTGTGATCTGCCTTTTCTGGCTGATATTTGCTGCCTACTGCCCCATCCTCACCAAAACGCACAAAACCAACCTAATCCTGAAGGAAAATACACATTCCCCTGCTCCACCCTGTTGCCTTCTTGCAGCTCAAAATCCCCCTGGAAGCTCTGGATTGCTCCCCTCCTGAGGAAAGAGCAGCAGCAGCCAGAGCCAGGCCCCAGGAAATCTCTGCAACAATTTCAGGTGGAATCCCAATTTCAGGTGGATTCCTGTTCCGGACGGGCTTTCCCCCTTAAATCCTCCCTGACAAACTTCTTCCCGGTCCAGCCCTGCTCCCCACTTGGAGATGGTTCCTCCCAGGGCCAGATGCCGCATTATCCGGAGCGACTTTCCCTCGCAGCCTTGTTTTCCTCCCACTCCTGAGTCCTTTGTCTGGCTGCCAAGCGGAGCAGCCCTGCCAGGCAGACACAGCTGCTCCGCATCGCCGCGGGTGCTGCCCTATGGCTGCGGAGCCACTGCAGCCCGATCCATCTCCGAGGGGACGCTCTGCCTCCGGGGTGGCTGCACCGGCAGCAGAAAAAGCGAACAGCACCTGTAAAGCTGTCGGAAGGGGCTGGAAAGGTTGAAGATAAAGAGGCCTTGATGGTGCTCTGGGTTTAGCTCTGAGACAGCGCGAGTAGTGAGGCTGCTCTCTCCTGCTCTGGCTGGAGCTCTCCCTGGAGGAGCACGGAGGAGGAATGAGAAGTTTCCAAGCCCGCAGCCACAGAAGCACAGGCCTGGAATCTCTCTAATGAAAGTTTTCCTCTTTGCAGTTTGCCAGGCAAACAAGCACCAGGCACCAATATCAAAACCAGCCCAGATTCCAATGAAAACCAGCAAAGAAATACTAGAGTAGAAATGAAACTGCTTCATTTTCCTTGGTAAGCACTGGCAAATAAAACTACAAAGAGAGGAGAGGGAGAGAGGAGAGGAGAGGAGAGGAGAGGAGAGGAGAGGAGAGGAGAGGAGAGGAGAGGAGAGGAGAGGAGAGGAGAGGAGAGGAGAGGAGAGGAGAGGAGAGGAGAGGAGAGGAGAGGAGAGGAGAGGAGAGGAGAGGAGAGGAGAGGAGAGGAGAGGAGAGGAGAGGAGAGGAGAGGAGA